GTTACAGACGTTATATATCTCTATAGTACGTTTTATACTTTAAACACGTTAGAATTTAATATTAAAAAGAGTAAGTTAAATATCTAATTTATTAGAAATTAATTAGGCACTACGTAGTTGAGACATGTCGCGTTGTAGTGTTGACGGTAGCGCGCTGATGGGGAGGTGGCCGCTCACTTGGGGTGGCCGCTCACCTGTGAACCACGTTAACCATTTTCACTTTAGTTTGCACCAACTTCAGGAAGTCAAGACATCTATCCGCCTTCCCCAATCAATACGCTAAGCATTCTAGACCCGGAGTGCAATGACGACGTGCAAAGAAGACTCACATGCGTCGACGTCGATGACGCTCAAGTGCCGGCAAAGTCCAACCGAGCCATGCTACTACGCGTGTCAGCAGCGGCACAACGCAGAGTCAAGACAGAAGTCTATTTGCCCGAAATCTTATTTCAGAAAAGACAGAAGCTTATCGTCGCCGTCTTGTGAATGTGGACGCTAGTGGTCGTTATACGGGTAGCGTGTGCACAATGGCCAAGAGTCATGGTAAGGCTGGATACGACAACCGGACTACTCATGCAGGTACCACCGGGCGAAGGAACAAAATTGGGGCAGGAATCCGGGCTTTCAACTCAATCCCGCAACAACCGTTTCCAACGCCGCCTCCGCCTCCGTTATCACTTGTGTGAAACAGTGCCTGATACACCTACGCCGCTCGTAGGATTCCAACCAAACAGGTTTGTTCAACAAAGTAGTGCCATGTCTTTGTTCAAGGCGACAAGAAAAAAGAAAAAATGAGGCCGGCGGCACGTCAACACAACGCCAAAAACGGCCCCAGCACGCACGTGCCAAGTCCTCGTTCCCAGCGCGCGCCCCCAGCCAAGCCCTGTCAGGGGCAAAAGACGCAAGACGCACAAAAAATGTGGAGAAAGGAAGGGAAAGAATAGGGCCAAAAAAACAAGGTCTCTCCCTCTCCCTAATCAGTAAAGTGGGCTTCCCCCAAATGCAGTTTTGGGTTTAATTTTTCCCCAACCGTAGTTAAATCCAGGAACACAAAGTTTTTATCAACAAAAAAAGATAATCCGCGTGCGCGCATGTGTGTATGTGCTTTTATGCTGAATTTACACCCCAGACCAAAGCGCGCCTACTACTTTGGAACCTAAACCAAAAGCCCCCATCATCTACGCACATCCATACTTTACACAAAGGCCCTCCGCCCTCCTCCCCCCCAAAAAAAGAAGCAGAAGAAGAACAAGAATAGCTAAAGCTCATCCAATAACCTTCCCTAAAAAAGCCCTCTTCTCTCGTATACACTAACTCGTCCCAACCTTGCCCCGTCCCCCCTAACAAGCGCCTCCCCCCCCCCTTCTGCCTCTCACCCGTCTTCAGCTTGCGTTCAGCCCAGAACACGGGAGATCCAACCATTCGCACTTGCAAGTCCCAGAGAAGCCTAGGCCAACCCCCTCCCCCGAAACACATACAATCCCCGTATACTTTTGTGCTCTAGTAGCTGGCCCGCGTTGGCAAAACGGAGATTGGCCGAAAAGAAAAACACGACATGTGCGCACGCTGAGTGGCTGCCGCTTTTCGCGAAGCGCGCGCGCACCCCCCGCTAGTGGACATGTCTTTGCTCGTTCTTCTTTCTTTGATGGCTTTCGATGGCTGTGGCTTTTCTTCTTTGCTGATGCGGCGGGTGGGTAGGGACTATCGTATAGGGTCACGCACCACCACTTATTTCTCGCTTTAGGGGGGGTTAGGGTTGCGATTTGTGGGGGGAAAGGGAAGCCTTTTTTTATTGGGCACAGTCACTTTGTTGTTTAAACTCGAAAAGGGTACTACTACTATATGAAGGTGTTCCGTTTTGCTTTTGCATCAACTCTGTTGCCCGCTCTCCCCTCTCTGCTTGTTTTTTTCTCGAAGATCATATTGATTTGAATTGATATTATTTTAAATCGTTCAACAGCATTTTATTTATTTAAACTGCTTCGGGTATATGCGTTTGTCGTGACCTCCTTGGAGCATATATAAACAAGGCTTTTGGTTCCCTTTAATTATCGTTTGTTGCAAGCGAAGTTTATAGGGGAGGAGGTTGTATTCCTTGGCTATTACATTCTAATAACCCCCCTGGATTCCCCGTCACTTGGTCGGAAACACAACTGTTACTAGTTGTCCTTGAAGAACCTGTTTCAACTCTCTCTTTCTCTCTCTCTCTCCGAAAAAGACAATGGTTAGGGTTGTTCTTGCCGTAGCGGGCTTCGTTGCCGTCGCGCTTGCCCAGCAGTCGACTTGTAAGTTTGTTCATGTCTCTGTATGAGACGTAGATGCCTAAGGCGGGAACATGTTTGCTGATACAACCTCTCCTCTCAGATACGGGCCCAGTTTTCGACGAGGATACCGCGCCCTACTTCGGTAGCTCTGGTCTTGTCTTCCCTACGAGTGCCGATGGTACACCTGCGTTTCCCAGCGCCCCAACTATCACTCCGTCGGCCAGCTCTTCGACAATCCCCACCCCCGTTTCCAGCTCCATCTCCAGCTCTATGCTCAGCTCCGTACTCAGCTCCATGCTCAGCTCCATTCCTAGCCCCACACTCAGCTCCACGCTTTCAACAGTCGTCTCGCAAAACTCCACTATTTCGTCTTCCGCAACCACTTCGAGCGCCTCAACCATTTCGAGCCCAGCAACCACTCTGAGCTCATCGTCTCGTTCGTCTACATCTGATAGCGAGTCGCGTACTTCAACCTCTACGACTGATGATGATGCTACTACAAGTAGGCTGACCGCTTCTCCGACTTCGACAGGTGCGGCCGCTACCAACTTTCCGGAGGCTCTTGGGATCATGGTTGGAGGTCTCGTGGCTGGTATGGCTATGCTTTAGGTGCTTATGTAGCGGCCCGCGATTTTGATCTGCACGTCAGCTTTAATTTAAAATGAGTATATGTTATTAATGCTTTAATATCCATAGAGACAAGACACTGCACAAGAAGAGCAAATTCATCCATGGATCGTTTCGACGTAGCAAAAAAGGGTATAATTGTGATGTACTCGTGGAAGATGGCTTGAACCTTTTTTATGGAAGTCACCGACGCGCATACTTTTTGACCCAGCAAACCCAACGCCTTTAAACGCCGCCACAATGCAATTGTATTCAATCTGAGGCTTATTCCTCCATGGCTCCGACCTCTGTTACCGACTCTGTCGCCTTCGAGTAGTAGGCCTTGAGGTCAATCTTGAAGTCGGCCATAGCCACACCGAACAACTTGAGCAGGGCAGTCTGGTGACTGTTCATAGGCTTTCCCTCTTCGGCAATCGTGTATGGAGCATCCAGAATGATCTTGCCCTTGTCGAGCCTCGTTGGCATACCCCATTTCCTGATGGTGGTTTCCATACTGTGCGGTAGCGGTACGTCGTCTTCCTCGGGCAGCTCTCCACCTCTTGAGTAAACGACTCCAGCGGGTACAGTGAAGGTCTGTGTAGCGACGACACCGGCACGCGCAAAGTCGGTTTGGGAGTAGTTGGCAAAGTATTCGATGATCTCGCTGGGCTCACGGTTTGTGAAAAGGAGGCCTACGTTGCCGTTGAGGTGTTCAGTGAGCTGTGAAAGATTGGTGAGGTGCTCCTCTGCTGGTGTCTGGCCGAGCGCCTTGGCCATGACTTTGGTCTTGCCGAAGAAGAATCTGCGCAAACATCAGCGGTCAGCGGGATGCGTTCAACAGGGGTCAAAATGCCATACCTGCTGTCTGCAAACTCAGCGCGCACTTCCTTGAGGTACGAATTGCGCATATTCTCTACTGCGAAAACGAAGATGTGCTCGAAGTTGTCCGCCGCTTCCTGGACATTGGCAAAGAGCTTCAAGGAGAGCTCCTTGCCTTTCTTGTCGGTCTTGGTAAGATGTACAACCTTCGCGCGCTTGGACTTGGGCATGTTGGCGGTGTTTTTCGGGGTTGTCGCGGGTTGTATGTGGTGCTTAAGAAAAGTTCGAGGGCCCAGGTTGCGACGTCCAAAAAAATGAGCGGGGAATTTTGGCGAACCACCGATTGGTCCGGCCGCGGCTCACCTCCGTTGTGCAACTTTGACATTGCTTCGCATCTGCAAACCTCCAGACCCAACCCATAGCCACACGAGATGATTTGCCGATAACATAGACATGTTGGATTTCATGGAGAGCGTGCAGCATGCTTTCTACGAGGCATCGCACTGGAACGTGGACAGTTCGTATGGCGCACTGAACGCGTCTGCGCGAGGTACGTCACATCTAATGTTGCTCTGCCATGCTGCATGCTGATGGCACATTGTAGCATTGCTCGACTTCGACATACCCAGAGGGCTGCGCATGCAAATATCCTCTCTCGCCGCCCCAAACTTTGCCACATCATACACTTTGGGTAGTGTGGGTGTCGTCGACGGCTCAGTTTCTTACCTCTACTCGTCGTTGCCGTTGCGTAAGGAGTTCAAGACATCGCACATTGATCTGCATAGTGTCGTACGAGGTTATAAGCACACCAAGGAGCTGAGACGGCCGGACGAGCAGTGGTGGTGGGAAGTCTGGCATGGTGGCCAACGGATAGACCGGAGAAGTAAGCATTTTGACTTTATCCAACCCGCACCACGACTAAGTATGAACAGATACCCTGTTGTACGGGCGCATATTCCTCCCCCAGTCCCGGCTCGAAGCACTCTATCTGCGACGTCTTACCCCGACCCGCCAGCTTAGGATTGCTGCTGTGAGCGACTCCAACCTTAACAATGGCGGCACAATCCTTACCCTTCTGCAAAACGACTTCGGCAAATATAGCACAGAGTACATGTATAGCACAGACTCTGCTCTGATGGGCGTTCGCGGCTTATACAACTTCGGGTCCGACCCCAGAGTTTCGCCGACGGAACCTGTGACCGGGGGGCACACGGAGCCTGCTTATGGCCGATTCAGTGCGGGCGCAGAGCTGTACTATGGTATTCTCAATAAGAGCGGCGGCATAAGTACGGGATTGCGCTTCGCCACCCTTCCCAACCATTCGGGATTTCCGTACACTATGACGCTGACGCTAAACCCATTGATGGGAAATATTTCTTCCACCTACGCTGTCAAGGCCGGCCCGAACCTCGCCCTCTGCTCGCGATTCGACTTCAATTTCTACTCTTACGAAAGCGAGCTACAGCTTGGTTGCGAACTATGGCGCCTACGTAATACGACTGATATCGACTGGGCTCTGAAGAAGCTACGCACAGACTGGAAACGCCCTGCGGACTCACCCACGGATGAGGTTTCTGGGGTATTAAAGGCCAAGGTTGATCAGGATTGGCGTGTAGGGGTGCTGTGGGAGGGCAAGATTAAAGAACTACTCTTTACCCTTGGCGCAAGCCTGGACCTCAAGAAAAGAGAACAGATATTCCGATCGATTGGTGTGGAGCTGCAGTATGCCTCGTGAGGCATGACAATCGCAGGCATTTATTTTTCGCTTACCCGAGACGAACCAGCAAACTCGTTAGACAGCGGAGCCCAGTCGTCAAGGCACGCTGAAATTAGACGGCTCACCAGTATACTTTGATGACCATTCTAGAAGCACTCAGTTGAAGATGAAACTTGCCTAAATAGGCTTCTAGAAGCCTGTTACGTCAGGGCCGGTCGTACCTAGACGACAACATGCGAGCGTGCGCCATGTCCATGCGATATCGACTCATTGTCTTGCGAACGCGGCAGGCGCATCCCAGACTAGGACTCGAGTAAGTCATCACGTCTGCACTATGCTGTGTCCTGTTCCATGGGGACGTAGCGTTGAAACAAATCTTTGGCCTATTCGCTGCTGGTGACAGTGCCCTGGGGCTGTTTTGGCTTGTTTTTCATGCGCTCATACGCTTTGCAACATTCTGTAACACATGGCAGGCTGCAAGGCGGAGTGATGAACAAGATTCGAGAGTGCCGATGTCGACAAGCCGGGTGGAGTTGAGGCTTCGGAACGTGAGCGCTTATGTCGATCGTGTCCCAAGCGCAGACGGAACGGAATCTCTTGCAGGTCAAGAGTCAGTTTCCAGGTTGGTGGTTGTCTTCGCTTGCTCACTGGTTTGATGCAATCCAATACGTACACCGCCACGCCCGGCGCAAGACTACGAATCCAGGGCGCAGGGAAGCAATAGGCACCATAGATTGACAGCTGTAGGGCGACGAGATGATGGGTGAGCCTACTGCGTCGGCGCGTCGGATATCAGCTAAAATATATGACTTTGTCAGATCTGAATCACGTCCGTTCCATAGGGCTTGGGCCGGGTGTGTCAGGATGTAGGCGCTCAGACGACACTGCCGCCCGCCGTCGTCGGGATCCTCTCGTCCTTTGGGGACGCAGGCGAGTGATCTGCGACGAGGGCTCCCGAGTCGGTGTCGACGAAGCCAGAAGGGGAGTTGTGACCGACGATTTGAGAAGAGCGAGGTGGTAGGCGCATGCCACGAGGCTGGGCAGGCTGTGGGAGAGCGCCTTGGATGCTTGCATCGACGACGGAGGCCAAAACTAATTTAGGCCACCGTGCGCTCTGTCGTGCGTCCCGCGGCCGCCGCGCGGTGAGCGATGCCAGACCGAGCAGTCGACCGAGGGGCAGTCGAGGAGGAGGGACAGCGACAGCGACAGCGACCGCAACCGTCTAGCGCGGCGAGGTGGCAGGTGGAGCCTGCTGGCTGTACTCTACTTGGACGGTGGGCGCAGGCTGTTTGGGGGAAGACATGTACATGACGCGCGCCCCCAGAGCAGCGTCGTGCCAGCTTGATGCGGCCCTCGCCCGTTGAGACAACTCTGGCGATGGCTGGAGTGGCTCGGCGAGGGTCGTGGCAAGGACTGCCCTATCGCAGGCCCGCCGTCTCCTGAGCCGTGGAAGGTCGGCTGTCGTGGCCCCCGGTCGCAGCGCTGAGTGGCTCTGAGTGGCTCCGATCGCTGTGCCTGTGCCTGTGTGCCTGGCTTGGTTGGCGGCGGCGGCGGCGGCGAGGCCTCGGCTGCTGCTAGTAGGTGCAGCATGCATCGAGACATGGTTAGTAGGTAAGTATGCGTGTACGTACCTGGGACTTGTGTCGGCCGTTGCGGGATAGCTGCACGCCCAGTTGCGGGCGGCGGGCAGGCGGGCAGGTTGGTGCTTTGGGTTCAGGGCTTGGGCGGACATGGTTTGCGTCCCAGGGCCACACAGACAGAAGCATTCTGGTGCGTCACCACTGGTCTCGCGCCTGGCGTCAAGTCGTGGTGCCGTTGGGCTAAAACAGTCTGTGGGCGGCATCCTGGACCTTGTAGCGCCCTGCCCAGACCACGCTAGCCGGCGCGCACCTTCCCCCCGGCCTCATGCCCCTTCCCTTAATCTCCCCTTTCCCACCACCCACGGTCGCTCATTTACACCAAAGGCCCAGCTCCTACATCCGGATTCCCCATCGTCACCTCGTTGTCGGTGTGGTTGCTACTACGTTCCCTTTTCTCGTCGACTTCTGCGAAGTGCCGCCACTCCTTTCGGCCTTTGCCCACGTTCCTTTCTACACACTCCTCCTTTGGCCTTTGCCTGTCCGCTCTTTCGCTCTCGCGCCCCAATTCACAATCTCCCTGTCGACACAGAATCGCTTTTGGACGATTGTCTGCCATCTGCTCCCCGGCCAGCAGCTCCATTCATCACACGTACATATACACACGCGCCTGGACCGTGTCTCGAGTCTCAACTACCCACAGCAGCCTGCTCCTGTGCACCTTGGACTCGCAACCTTCTCGTCTCAACTATCTTCACCAACCCAACGCTGTTTGGACCATCACTTCATCACGACACTTTACGAACATTGATAGACAGGAGGTGTTAGCTCGATTGCTCCCTCTAGATCTCCCACTTCATCTCAACACACTCACAATTCAACTCTTGCTCCTGCCCACCCCCAGACATGCAGTCACACGACGACGCCATGGTGTCCCCCACACCCTCACCCCCAGCACAGTCTTCCACCCCGACTCAGGGGTCTGCCCCCCGCCGACCACCCCGCAAGAGCACCCTCACCCAGCAGCAAAGAAACCAAAAGCGCCAGCGGGCTACCCAAGACCAACTCGTCACTCTTGAAGTCGAATTCAACAAGAACCCCACTCCCACAGCTGCTACTCGCGAAAGGATAGCCACAGAAATCAACATGACCGAGCGCTCAGTGCAGATCTGGTTCCAGAACAGGTAGGCGCAAAAGACTTTTTTTTTTGCGAGAGCGCAACACTAACTTTAACACAGACGTGCTAAGATCAAGAACATTGCAAAGAAGAGCATTGAGAATGGTGACGACTGCAACGATATTCCAGAGTCCATGCGAAGATATCTCGCTCTTCAAGCCATGGAGTCTGGCAAATCAATTGGAACCAACTTTCTTGGCCGAACTGGCGGTATGCCATATGGTGGCGGTATGCTCCTCAACACCGACGCCAACAACTCCAAGGTCGTCATTCACCATTTCGCCTGCCGCTCGCTGAGCATTGGAAGCTGGCGAAGAGTTGGCCAAAGCGCCATGGATTTGGTCGTTTTCTACTCACCCGAGAAGTGCTGCATCACCTACTACATCAACAACGACTCGGCCGGCTACAAGATTGAGTACCCCTTCTCGTACATCAAGAACATTCAACTTGAGAACGGCGACATGACCGCCAACGCTGAAGGCGCGTCACAACGCCCCGGAGGCCTGATTGTCGAGCTCAACCGCCCTCCCAACTTCTTCATGGACTCGTCTGGTTCCGGTGGTTTCTTCCAATGCGGCGACTTTACCGAGGACCAGCAGGCATCAAACATTATGGTGCATCACCTCGGTGGTCACCCAAAGGTTTTGAGTGGGCAGTTGGCGAAACTCATCTCACTGGAATCGTTTCAGAACCGACACAACATGTATGACGCCAATAATTTTGCCGTCTCGGCACCAGTGTCACCAATCAACCACCGCCCTGCTTCCCAACCAAACCACCTTGTGCACCCGCACATGGGTGTGTTTCAAGAGTCGCATCTTGCGCCTCCGCCTTTCCAGCCGCGTGGTCACAAGCGCCAACGCAGTCGTTCAGTGCCTGTTGCCATGGACTTTTCCATGCTTCGCAACCCCATGCCATCATTCATGATCCAGCAAGAGCCATCGCCTTACATGCCTAGCCCTGAAATATTTGCACCACAACCACAGAGTGCTGGACCTATCGGTCCTCACCTAAGCATCGACACATCTGCTGGTTACGGCATGGACTTTAGACAATACCCCATGTCGGCCACAACAGCCAACTCACCGTCGGAATATGGCACGCCTGCCTTCTACTCGTCAGGCCCACCAAACGACAGTGCCCCTGCATCCAATTACGGATCGTACAACATCCCTCCATATGTACACACCCCAATGGGGCCACCTCCTCACTCTGCATCGGGTCACTCGCCAATGCCAGCCATGAGCCATCCTGACCCGATCATTGCCAACCAATCACCCCCACTTGGTTCCTACGGCCGCGAAAACCACGGCGATGTGTACCCCATGTCGCACGACAATGGCATGTCGGACGAGGCGCTGCAAATGACGGACATGTACGCCAAGCAAAGCCTCAACATGCCATTCCGGTCACCGCTGCTTGACGAAAACCACGAGGACTTGGACATGCAAAATTTGGTGTCTTTCGGCACCATTGACCCATCAAGCCTGTCACCTGAGCATCATCAGATGTAAGGGAAACGGCTCGGTAGTCAAGGCGCGTTTGTCAATTTAATTTTTGCTTGCTCATATACCCGGTCGTCGTTGTTTTCGATGAGCAAAGCTCCCCCGTGCCATGTGGAGCCCTGGACTTGAAATAGTGCTGGGTTCCATTTGTGCGCCTGAGCTTACCTTGTTGTCGCGCCTGTAGTTAATGTGTCGCATCTTCCGCATATGGTGTTGTTGTTGTTGCTTGCCAGACGCATGCGTTGCACTCTTCACTAGTCATCTTATTGTAATGCAAATTGGACGACCACCACACAGGGATTGGTTATTGATACGGCGTTGCAAAGGTCTTCTTGGATGGCTAGGGGACCTGTACACAGAGGGGCGGTTTGGAGTGAACATGCTGGTGTTTGAATAGACGTCGGCAACATCAAGCAGGTCGTCTTTGCTGTTCTCCTTTCTCTTTCCATCTTCTTCAAGCATCGTTCTCTTTGGTGTTGCGAGCTAGCCTTCTTCTTTATTTCTCTTTTTTCTTTTGTTGCGTATCTCCAAGAGGGTTGGCGTTTCCTGCCAGGTGGAGGAACATGCTATTCTTCTTCTTCTTTTTTTTACTTCTTGAGAAGCAGTGTTGTCGTAGGTGGTTCATGTGGAGGAAGGTAAAAGCCGCTGCGCGGGCTTTGGTGGTTGCTCTAGATGGGGTCTCGGACGCTGTAGTGCTTTTTCTTAGCTGCAGCAGAATCAGTGATAAATATCATATCATCATTTCAAGTCAATATGTGTGTGTTCTTGGCATGTGAGTGTGAGTGAGTGTAGAGGTGGATGGGAGAGAAAGAAAGGGAAACATGCTTGTTGGAGGGAGGCATTGCGGGGGAAGGATGCAGAGTTATAGAGGAGTGAAATTAAGATGGACAATTGTTTCGGTGCCCAGGGCTATTGAGATTTGAGTTCATCGTAATCTCGCGAAAGGATGGTCGCACTATGACCTAGTACAGACTCCCATTTGACAGCGCAAAATGAAGGCGCAACGGGTCAACCCGTTGAACGTCACCCGAGCAAACGTTGTCAGATTACGAGCATCTGACGGCCAATCACTTGGACTCGAGTCACAACCCACATGGCCAGGCGCAGAATGGCTTTTGTGTAGCGCAAGACGAGCCTGAATGTGTGAACTACGGGTGGGACATGAACCAAGATATTGGAGCAGCCATTGTTGGTACCGAACATGGCAAATGTACCTGCAGATGGCAAGGGAAGCCTATAGGATCGACGCCTTTTGCCCAATGGAAAGTGGTGTGACCTATATCCTGGCTTATTGTGCCAAGCATGCCTGGCTCATGACACTCACATAATCAAAGAATGCCTCTGTCGACGGAGACGATTCATTCATCAGTCGTGATGTCGAGCATATCCATGTTGCGAAGAAACGCGAGGTTGGCCGCAGTGACAATGATGGTGTTAATGACGATGACGTGCAAGGCAAAGAGTGGCCATCGCAAGGGCGGCGGCACATTGACAGCGCTCTGGCCTCTCTGGGTGCAGGGCTGGACCACGCTGTGTTGCAATAGCAGAGAGGGATATAATTTTCTTCTCTTTGCCGTCGTCCCCTTTGGGCTCGCACGAGGAGCGGACCTGGGACGGACAAGGTGTGGCGAGGCGGCAGCGATCACCATCCGATTCCCCTGACCTGAGGCTGACTGGAGGGCCCGCCTAGGGGCTCTGCTCATTTCGTCCAACCAACCACAACCCTCGCTGCCCCTTGCTAACGGCACTGATAAGTGAGCTTGCAGCTGTTGTTGTCTCTGCCCGCGTGCATGGTGACTTTCTTCTCCTACACCCTACATTTTGTCGTTCATTACACCCTCGCCGCTGAATCCGGGGCCCTCGAGTGTCTTGTCTGTCTGCTTGTGCGCGCATTCTGCAGGGAAAGCTGCCTGTGCCTGCGCCAACACACTGCTGCTGCTGCTGCTGCTCCACCACCACCACTACCACGACGCTCGCCGCTGACCACCCCTCAAAGAGCGTTGCAAAACAAGCACTCACGGTAACGCCCGTCTGACGTAAACCATTCCGCCTGCTGTGTGGTTCGCATAACGTAGGTGCACATCTCTCCTCAAGCCTCGAGCAAGCCACCTTGGTCGACGCTATCCGGCACTGCCGCCCTTTCCCACCCGCCAATGTATGACCGCATCAGTCCCTCTCTCCCCCATGAAACACAACCCTCGCCCTTCTCATCTTGTTTCTTTTTTTGCTGGTAGCTGCACCTGATTGCTCCTGCTCACTGATTCCCCGCACCCAAACGCCTTTTTTTGCTCAGGAGTCGCCTACTAATTGCAACTCGCCTAGTCTCGCCCACCCTTCACCGCCAACATCCTCGTTGCGACTCCGCAGCCTGGGACCAGACCCAAGCACCTGGACAACGCATCCAGTCTTTTTGTAGCTTCAATCAGCCCAACAGCGTCTTACTCGAGCCATTGCTGCCATGCCTGCGCGAAGCATTAATCCGTTTGCGTCGACTACCCCTACTCCTCCCCTCGATCCTCACAACGAGAAGCGTGAGCCTGCACGCCGATCCTCCTTTGCAAAGGGCAACAAGTTCACATCCCTCTTCGGCGGCAACTCTCCCAAGTCGCGCTCCGAAGCCGCTGTCCTCCGCGAAGCTTTCATCGCCCAGCAGCAGGCCCTCCTCAACTCGCCCTCGCCCTCGCAGATTTCCCTCCCCACCATCAACCTCACCACCGCTACCGGCGAGAAGATGCCCACGGAAGCAAAGACCCTCTTCCAACCGCCTTCGCCGGAAGAGCAGCGTCGCATTGCGCGAGCCCACGCTCAATTTGGTCCCCTCGGATCACAGAAGCACCGCTACCACAGCAAGTTTGAGGGCGAGTTCGGCGATCCCATCGAAGACGAGCCACCATATTATTTCCTTCTCACTACATACATCAGCTACTTAATCCTAATAGTATTCGGACATGTCCGTGACTTCTTCGGTAAACGCTTCAGGAAGCAACACTACAGCCACCTGCAGGAGAAGGACGGATATGCGCCCCTCAACAGCGACTTCGACAACTTCTACACAAGACGGTTGAAGATGCGCATCAACGACTGCTTTTCACGGCCCACTACCGGTGTCCCAGGACGATTCATCACTGTGCTCGACCGCAAGTCTGACGACGGAAACAACACCTTCAAGATGCTCGGAACCACAACTGAGACGTTGAACATGAGCTCATACAACTACCTGGGTTTCGCTCAATCAGAAGGACCTTGTGCCGATGCCGCCGAGGCTGCCATCAGGAAGTACGGAATCTCAATGGCTAGCCCTCGATCTGACAGTGGTACTTCTGAGCTTACCGTTGAGGTTGAAGATCTTATTGCCAAGTTTGTCGGCAAGCCCGCTTCAATGGTCTTTTCCATGGGTTTCGTTACGAACGCTACTACATTCCCCACTATTGTCGGAAAGGGCTGCCTCATGATCTCTGATGAGCTCAACCACTCTTCTATCCGATTCGGAGCGCGTCTCTCAGGAGCCATGGTCACCATGTTTAAGCACAATGACATGCGTGATCTTGAGCGCAAGCTTCGTGAAGCCATCTCGCAAGGTCAGCCCCGCACACACCGGCCGTGGAAGAAGATTCTGGTTGCTGTTGAAGGTCTCTACTCTATGGAGGGTACCATGTGCAATCTCCCCGGCATCATCAGCTTGAAGCACAAGTACAAGTTCAATCTCTTCGTTGACGAGGCTCACTCTGTTGGCGGTGTTGGCCCTCGTGGACGTGGTGTATGCGACTACTTCGACATTGATCCCTCCGAAGTTGATATCCTCATGGGCACGCTCACAAAGTCTTTTGGCGCCAACGGTGGTTACATTGCCGCTGAGAAGTCTATTATCGACAAGCTCCGAATCAGCAACGCAGCTATGCTTTTCGCCGAATCGCCTTCGCCACCAGTCCTCGTCCAGATTGCCTCTGCTCTCCGTATCATTGACGGTTCAATTGTACCAGGACAAGGTGAAGAGCGTCTGCAGCGCTTGTGCTTCAACTCTCGTTATCTGCGCTTGGGTCTCAAGCGCCTCGGCTTCATTGTCTACGGTCACGACGATTCACCCATCATCCCTGTTATGCTCTACAACCCTGCCAAGATGCCTGCATTCTCCCACGAGATGCTCAAGCGCAAGATTTCCGTCGTAGTAGTCGGCTACCCCGCCACACCTCTCGTGTCATCACGAGCCCGCTTCTGCGTTAGCGCTGCGCATACCAAGGATGATCTTGACCGCATGCTTACGGCTTGCGACCAAGTCGGCGACCTTTTGCAGTTGAAGTTCAGCTCAGGTGTTGCCGGTGGTGCCTACCCCGAGGAGCTTGCCGAGAAGAGCTCAACAGATGGCAAGGAGAAGATTCCCAAGCCGCCAAGGTGGAGGCTGGAGGATGTGCTCGAGAGGACAGTTCATGACGTACAATCAACACTACGATAGATTGCGCGCTAAGCAATAATTGGTACGAGGTTACGGCTGAATTGCGCAATCTTTGTGGGGGCAAAGCGTGTACGTGTATAGTGGGAGGCCCTGCGCCCTGCTGCCTCGTCAGCATCACACGCAACCCAAGTATCGACCCACCTACACTTCTACGCCTCAGACTAAGCCCTCACAAACAACCTTGACGATTACAGTTATCATCATGGTCAGCATCAATCAACCACGGCTTTATTCCTCCGTCCTATTTTCCGCGACCCTCTAACGCATCATTTGCTGGACATCATCTTGGCATTGTACCCTCGATATCCATCCTCCTTCTCCCTTTGCCTTCTTCTTTTCCTCCTCCCCCCGCGTGCTTGGTACTTTTACACCTTGACGTGTGCATGTATGATAGATATTTAAGATTCAATACCCTCGCTTGTGACAAATGATTGTTTTTTTCTTACCTTCTTCTTCTTCTTCTTCTTCTTCTTCTTCTTCTTCTTCTTCCTTTTCTTCATTCACAGCATATCTAACGGCCTCTTTTGTTTTTTCTTGCATCTTACCCACGCATAAATATTAATCTTTGGATTTTGCCCCAAATGGCAATTATCTTGATTTTTTTCTCAAAAACAACAACAATAACTTCGACATCATTCACGTCTATTAATGAGTATAGCTAGAGAGATAAAGGAAAACACTTAAAGATAAAGATCAGAGAAAATGGAATGGGGGAGAGAGAGCTGTGCCTTTTACCCCCGTTTCTTGATACTTAATTGTATAATGAGTTGAAAGATTGATGGGCTTGACTTTTTTTTCGGTGCTGTGGTGTGATGTGAGGTCCCTTCTTGTTTCGAAGGGTAATGTTAACTTCAATGGCCATTTGTTGTTAATGTGAAATCCATTTCGTAAAACGATACACTGCCGTACATTTGAAGTAGATACATATACTGTAATGTATGAAAGGGGGAGGAGCTGATTAAACACATAACACTACCTCATTGCTATTTTTTTTTTGGTTTGTCTTTTCAAATTCGTAATATCGTCAAGAAAAAAAATTGAAAAGAGAAGGCAAAATACTCACATACCCTGAAAGTAAACCCCCCCATATGTACACATAAAAAGAAAACGAATTAAGAAAGGAGAAAAGAAAAGGGAGTGAAGAATGAGAGAGAAGAAAAAAAAAGAGCTGTAAACTTAGTACCCACCACCACTTCTCTCAAAATCCCACTCATCATCATAATCCATGGTAGAATCCCTTCTCCTCCTGCGCGAGACATCATCTCCATACCTCACCGACTGCATACTCTCCTTCTCTTTATTCTTCTCGCGCGCCCACTCCAGCGCATCGCGCAAGTCACGTAGATTGATCTGCTCATCGTGCAGTGCAGCTTCTGTCTGTCTCCTACGCGGCTGGGCCGGCGAGTACGCATGATCATATACATCTGGATTGTAAGAGGCGGTGCGGGCGGGCTTAGGAGGGGCAGGAGGGAAGGGTGAAGCAAAGGGGTTGTTGGTGTGTTGGGTACGGGGCAGTGCTGGGGTGGTGCGGCGGTGCGGGAGATGCGGACGGGGAGGGTAGGGGTGTTGGTCGTCGGGGTAAGATGGGTACTCGCGGTCCCGCTCTTGCTCTCGCATGGGCTCTCGCATGGATGAGCAAGTGGACATGTGCTCGTTGCTTGGTTCCCTGAGGTATCTGGGTCTCTGTGCGGAGCGCAGATCGGCAGTGTTGGGGTTGGGGCTTCGACGCTGGGGATCAAAGGCGTCGTTTGGGCGCGCTGCAAAAGTCGGCTTGCGCTGGCTGTGCTCACGCTTTGTAGGCTGAGGCCGAGAAGGTGCGTCCCACATATTATCCTCGGCCGTGTGGACAGACGAGGTGTGCCAGGAACCAGTACCGCTTGCGCGATCCCATGATGCATCGGACATATCGTCGTGTGAATTGTAAACTTTCCCTGGCATCCTCTTCTCACTGTAGAGGCTGGTGGGCGAGGCGTTGCCGCTGCGTGTTCTGTCATCTGCAGTGCTGTTTGTGTTCATGTGGATGTGAATGTTCGCTGGCGCTTGACTAGAGAGCTTCGCACGTACGGGTTGAGGAGAACTCGAACCTGGTGTGTCTGGGGTACGTCTGCCAGTGTATCCTTCGTCAATATCACTACTGGGCCGATGTCTCCGCATTGGTTGCCGTGCATTTTGCTGGTGAATGCCTCTGCGTAGGTGACTCCGGCTGCGACTTCGACTTTGCCGCTTGCTTCTACTATGCATACGATGTCTCGGATTGTTTCTTGACCCCTTAGCATGTCGTCCGCGTTCGGGTTCGCGCGGATGCATTTCCCTATGCATGTCGCTGTCGATGTCGACGAAGCTAGAACCCTCCGACTCATCTTCCCAACTAACTTCACCCTCTGAGTATAAACTGGATGTATCCATGTGGCTCCTGTGCTTGGTTTGCTGGCTCCTAGGTAACTCGGGGTCCATTGTCTTGTTGATCGGGCCTGGCCTACGACCTGGTACGTGCCTTGGTACTGACATTGGTATAGCCTCGGGGTAACTGCCGGGCATGCCTGATAGACCCTGCGGTAAGGGTGACTGAATTGGTGGTGGGTGCCCGCGAGGTCCTGACATAACTGGATGGGCCCCTCCATTAGGTGGTGGTGGCGGCGGTGGCGGCGGCGCAGGTGGGCCAGCTACTGGAGTTTGCCCGTTCATACCTCCACTTAGATGTGGTTGAGGTGGAAGTGGAGGCGGTACATGGGGAGTGGGCATCGGCATATGAATGTTGCCTGGATTAACAACATGAAGAGGAGGAGGCTGACCACGCGTTAGCTCAGGGTGTGGAGGAGGCGGCACGTTATGCGGGCCATGAGGTTGAGGTCGCTGCTGAGGCATCTGTTGTGGTGCTGGCATATTCTGGCTTTGATTGTTGACTCGACCCTGGAACTGTGGAAGACTCTCGCCCTGCTTGACCCGGTTGGAATCTTGAAGTTTATCGCTAGCCATTCCAACTCCCGTCTTTGTACCTTGGAGGCCAGAGTCTTCTGCTTCCAAGATTATGTCCACACGTGCCAGGTATCTCTCGCGGCGCGTCAAAGAGGCGCGTTCTCGAAACTTCTTTATCAGACTCACGATCCTGTACTCCATGGTCGGGTTGTGTTTGGTCAGGAAAACATTCTGCTCTTCGACCAGTTCATTGATGATTCTGCGACAGTTTGGAGAGGATATTTCGTCCAAAGCCTTTTTGACGTTGTTGTAGTTACGTCGAAACTTCAGTACCTCCTTTTTGAGGTCATGAGCTCTGACGTGTTGTTGCTCGGGGACAACATCTTCCCAGCTGATGTCGTTCCTGGGCCTCTCTAATATGAATGATACGAGAAGAGGGGCTTGGATGGAATCTAAGGGAAAATCTTCAGTCTCTCTTGGAGAATTTTGCCCAAAGCTCTGGTGTTGTCCGCTTGAGGCATGTCGCTGTTGCCCAGTATTTTGATGATGTTGAGGCATCGGACCCGGGTATTGAGTTTGTTGTGGTATAGGCATTGGATGGGCCATGATTAAGAGGAGTGAGATGGCTGAAAGAGAGAGTACTGTCAGTCAACAGAATAGAATTGAACAAAGCTTCGATATTTGTGTCAACAGAAGGCTTGTCGCCGGAGAAAAGGTGAGATGATGAACTAGATTAATATTGGGAGAAAATTGATGGAAGATATAGAAATCAGAATCAACTCGATATTGATAGTTACTTTAGAGCCTCACTTTTGCTCCAGCAGTGGTGTTACCATACTGACGCAGGCGGAGATAAGGACCATTTTCGGACGGGGACCATTGCATCCAATCCGCCTCTGGAAGTGCAGATGAAACATGCGTCAATTGGTTGACATGAATGGTTCTCCCGAACCTCGCTTAACCGTTGGCATCGGGGCGCTGACCGGTCGAAGCCACAAGGCTGAGGGGTAGACAGGTAAATCGCCTTTTGCCTTCTTATGCGACACAAGGTACAGCTGACCAGTTGTGTGTTTTTGAGCCTGGGGGTTTACCGGAAGGCCAAAGGTCCTCCCAATGTGCATATGTACGAGCAGCGCGCCACACATCTGGAGGACTCAAGTGATGATCTTGGATGCAGCCTGATGAGAAGTTCATCATGACATGGTCGCGTATGTGTAGGCGACTTCGTTGTGACGGCTCACCAGTGCTATATAATCTTTTGGCGCTATTTCTTTGCTATAGCCTAGTTGCAGACATTTGTATAAGAGCAGAAACGACATAGTCGAGGTGAACGTTTAGATCTATAACAATATTCTTGTTTACTATGCTTTAATTTTTATTTATGAAAGCTAACTATTTAACTCAGTATCACTTATATAGAAACCTCTTAGAATCTTAGTACTAGACACCATAATTGTACACTAATATTCTATTGTAGAACTATGCTAAACAGCGTTTAACCCGTTATACCTAGCCAGGCTATATTTATTGAGGGTTTTGGCATTTTACAAGTTTCTGACCCCAAATTGAACACTGATCACTGTTATTGATGATTCTTATTGCTATAAAGTATGTAAATCCATTTTACCTTTGACATGTTCCACTCGACATAACGGCACCACATTGACCATTACATGGCTTTCCTAAATCACCCCCGAGACTGCAGTTTTTAAGGATTGTTGTAACGCTATCGGGGCATTGGGTATAAAATGGCTGGTTCCTCTTCTGGAGATTAGAGAAGCTAACTTCTTTTGCTGCCGAGTCAATAAGTGGAACAGCGCCTGTAACGGTCGCGGTTGATACTCGAGATTGCCACTCCGATCTATGATACGAGGCATTACCACCGAGACATAGCCGAGGATCTTGATTCCACACCGCGATTAGGTTTGATGTTGATCTTTCCTGGCCCATCACGGAGAGACAAACGTCAGCAGTAGAATAACATTAGTCAGAAAGAAGACTACAGAGGTGCCTGTTACAAGTGCTTGCTAACAGGAATCATCTGTATTACTACCAAAATACTACCAAAGTTTGATTAGATCTATCCCGCCGTCTCTTCTTATATCTACTACTAGTAGTGTAGTACGTAGTAGTAGTTATATAAGTTTAAAATCTAATTACTATTAGTATTACGTATAGTTATGATAAATTATTCTCAATTTTATAAGTAACTATAGTATGATATACTTGGTAAAAATATATATAGCTTATAACTATCGCTTTTTTATTATATATATTATTATTAGCTTAGCGTTAGTATAGGTCCAATAGGTTACACCTCATCGTATGAGGAATTCCTACCCTCCTGTATATACTAAAGAATCAACGAACAAGAGAACAAGTGACAAATGCCGGGTGGTCGAGAAGACTGATTATGTGTGAACACATCTCCTGCAGAGCGGCTGGTTGCGATGAGTTCGCAGTATGTAAAACCCCACTCATGCAGCCTGGCGCTGTATCTGTTTGCCGACTGGGCAACGACGCCCCTTCATGCACATTATTTTGCCCTTTGCCCTTGAAATAAAAATTGCCTGATCCCAAATACCGGATGTCTGCGGATGACATGGAATATACGACATTGACCGGATGCACAATGCATGCGGTATGCAAGCCACTCGTGTGACGTTTGTGACACTCAGGCTCATACCCGTAATTCGGTTGCAACATCAACAACAACTTGCTCGACAACGGGAACGGGAAGGTCGGAATTGCCTAGGGCTTATTGGAAACAGATACGTTGTTTATGATACGAGCCATGTACGTGGTCAACAGCTGTCCACCAGGCGCAGGCAGTGAAATTCATGCAACGATTGCACTCTCTCTGCTGCAGTCGGAGAAGTATACAGAAAAAGGCCAGACCATTTTCTCCAGTCTTGACCTTTTCGATAACCACAATCAGCATTCTAGTTCTCCGATCCAAGATACCGTCAGTTCGTAATCGCGCTCTTGAACCGTAATGCTTTTGCGGATGTTGACTTACTGCACACACTCACAAACGCCTAACATTAATTCTACAGATTACAAAACACTCTATCTATGATTGATTTGAAGCAGCAAGTATGTGAATGCCATGGAATACATGACACCCAGGATATCGGTCGGTGGCGCACAGCCCATGTCTGAGACACAGGAGGATTCTCCCCACCAACCCCGCAGTCTCTCCCGTTGCCTTCGGGAGGACCATCTTCACCGGATGGAAGATCCTTCAGCCACGGCAGCTGGAAGATACGAAATAACAACGTTTGCATACGAGGTGATTTCATGGATGGATTCTGGGCCCATGCTCCGGGCCACTTGACGGACATACTAGAGTGAGCCACCTGGTATTTTTGGATGAGCTTCGTGATTGATGAACCTTCAATTGTTGCGCGTCCTTCGTCAGCAACCGGTGGGGGGTGTTCGAGACTTTTGCGAAGGTTCGCGTGTAATATTCGGGCGAGCCTTGTGTTGTTGGCCCTGTAGAGCTACCAACGACTTAACCTGCGAATCAAATCTAGAACATTTTTAGCATGTGAAAACAGGATGAGTTGAGCGAATTTCCGCGCCAGTGATATGTTCCTCCCTGGTAACAAGATATTGAAAAGAGACACGATAGAGTCATGTGTGGGGACGGGTATCTTCAATTCGGTAGTCATGCGCTACTCGCACTGTCTCTGATATACAAGTGTTAGGACCGTGATTACCCATTTTCTAGGTTTCCTGTAATATGCGGTCTTCAGACATCGAATGCGCGGCGCGTTCAAGCCTTGACGCCGAGCTGGTGTGGTGTGGTTTTGGATGCTCCTCAACGCATGATGTTTCATTTCTTGCCCTTCTTTTTCTTCTTTCCTCCTGTTCCTGCGCCTGCCTTTGCATCTGGTGCTGTGCCGCCCATCTTGACGTCGCCGCTCTCGTCAACCTGCGGTGTCGCTGCGCCCTCGCCGCCCGCTGGCATGCTCAAATCCTCTGTCGTCTCAGGTAGCGCTGCCATGTGCCTCCCTAGCCTTCCCAGGTTTCCAATTAGCCTTCCAACCTCGGCGCCCTTGTTGGTCTCATATTGCAGACATGTTCCCGACTCTGGGTCGTATGTTTTAAGCGTAAAGGTGGCCGTTACTTCTTCCGCGTCTTGCGATTGTGGTTGTGGTGATGAGTCTCGCGCCTTGTCTGCTGGCCGTGATGCCTTCTTCTCTTCATATTTTTGTCGCTTCTTGATCTTGGCGGCTGTGGGCTTGTGGACCGAGTATTTGGAGGTGATGCGTGTCTAGGAACTCGATTAGAAGGGCGTGTCGCGTGCTTTGCGCATAGCTTCTCGTACAGTTGTTGGGCGGGCTTTTAGCAGTAGCGACGACTGCTCGTACCATTCGGCACTCGTGGCAAAGTACGGCATTGTGACGGTTGCAGGTTGACTGGAGCAATTGCAAGGTGGAGGACGGATAGGTCAGCTTCGGTATGCGGGCAACTTTTGGCGGGGTTGCGCTCGGGCGAACGTCGGTCTGGACTCGCAGCCTCCAACTCATGAAGGGCACAGACGACTATTGACTGTGGCAGAACAGGGCGCACCGAGGCAACTATGACATGACTGTTCAAAAAGCTTAACATTAGCTTGTACCAGCACATATCCAGGCAGCCGCGATTGTCAACATCGAGCCTCATCGAATCTTCTATACAACGCTTGGGTTACGATTTCCATGGCTTTAGCACGATGAACATCTCTACAATTTTCTTTGCTACAGACATCCTTGATTTCACGCTGAAGAGACTGATATCTCAACCACGCTAGCAACAAAAGAAACATTTCTTATCATTAGCCATCCTTAACCTGTTTTCTACCACGATAGATGTCTTGGAAATCTTGTTCACCGTTCGGCAATTCCTTACTCATTTCCAACACCATCTTTGGCACTCGGACTACTCCTCCCAGGTCTTGGCATTATGGCGGAAAGCATTACCAAAGAAATTGACAATCTGAATCTTGGAGATGACCAGACTCGAGACAAAACGCCCACTCCACGAGCTGAACTGGAAGCTACCATCCAAGGTCTGGTAGAACGCGGAAAGCGCCTGCACGATGAAGTGGAGACATATGTGGCGGCAGTTCTTGAGAAACAAAAAGTCGGCAAAGTTCACAATCCAGTAGAGTACGTTATATTTGGTCGCGTCTGATACGCTTTGCAGTCATAGATCAACTCCTGTCATCCACCATTCATACTACCGTCCCAATTCTTTGCGTACAGCTAATTTGACCAGGTATCGTAATCTGCGCAATGACATGCGTAACGAGCTAGCCTTTCTTAAAAAGCTAGTAGGCTCCGAGATAGATGAGGAGAAAGCTAGACACTATATTGTTTCGTCAAATATTCTCTACTACGAAGCACTATGGAGCGCAGCAAAGCGCTCACGTGGACTCCAGAGCTTCAGAAAGTACTTCTTCTGGCACCGTCACACCGCACCAGCAGGCAAGCACACGACAAAAGGTCTAAGCCTATCCAAGGGAAGCCAAACCAAGAACAAAACCGCTGCGCTTGTTGATATTGTTGCCGAAGAAGGCAGCGAATGGATCCGCGTCTCGACCGTTTCCGAAAAGCGGATTCTCTTTGACCTCGCCAAGCTGGGATGGGTCAATGACTTTGATTCCGACGAAGACGAGGATACACTAGACGCACGCTCAATCGGCGTTGACGACGAAGACGACGATGAAGATCAAGTCGACGTTGTCCGCAACGCCCGTCAACTCGCCCGAGCAGCTCAGGCAAACCCCATCCGCGGCCGTCCACCCAAGGTCCGCTTCGTCCTCACAAGAGTTGTCGCCGGTAAATCCGCGCCCATTGATTCTGTCATCAACAAAATCCGAGCTACAGGCGCCATTGTGCAATGCGGCGATGATATCCCCCCAGCACCTGCAATTGACGATGTTCTCCCACAGCTCCTCATCGATCGCTCCCGGGCTCTCAGCAACACTCTAAACATCGATTGCACCATCCTGCTTGCTCTCATATCAGACATCTCGCATAAACCTTGCCCGATACTAGACTGGTATCCTGGCGAAGTGCGCGCACAGATCGAAGAGGAAGCAGAGGAGCACTTACTTCCTACGCATCTTTACCCGGCTATCAAGGCGCATCCTATGGTGTGCACGCGCGAAGCAGCCGACCAGATGAATCTTATAGTGCAGACTCTAGCTACAGATACGGAGAGGCTGAGAGCGGATCTTTTGTTAGGCCAGGGAGATTGGCAAGTGCGGTCCTCGCAGGACTTGGTTGCGGAATGGGTATGTTCACTAGTAATTTCCCTTGATCCACCTTATTCTTCTAGCCCCCTCTATAACCTTTCTTTTTCTCTTTCTCAAAATTAGATTTTTAGTAGTACATTGTGTTGAAAATGCCCAAACTAACAGTGATATTTCTCAGGCAAGTCTATCCGACCACACCGTCCCCGAGGGCTTCGCCCTCCCAATAACAGTCAAATCACCCAACCTCGACTCCCTCACCGACACCCTCCCCGCCGTCGCACACATAGTAGCAGCGGAACTGGGTCCCCTCAACAAATCCATTTTCCTCTACGGATGGGCGCAGAATCTGACGACGCTGAGTGCGAATCGTGGGCGCGCTCGCCAGATTGAAAGTATTATTAATGAGCATGGGTTGCAGGATGGGGAGGCTGGGCCGCATATTTGGCTCTGTGGTGAGTCTCGTAGTTTGATTGCAAAGCATGGGCGGAGAAAGTAAAACAAAAAAAAGGGACAGAGAGAAAGAAGAGAGAATTGTGGTTGCTGAGTTCGCGGATTAGGGGCGACGCGTACGTTTCGTAAACCACGGCCTGGGCAGGGTACTGAGGAGGAGATACGGTTGTGGCAGAGTGGGTCGAGAGGGATTGTGTAGAGAGAAAGAGAAGATGATTTTGGATCGGTATCTTTGTTTTCTACAGGGAGATAGGTTGGAAGATACAAGACGAATGAAGCACTGGTATCGAGAAGAAAAAACAAGCATGGAAGACATACCCGTCTTACACGAAACAGTACACGATACATACTTTTCTACATCAAACCAATAATGGTCATCCACACTTACATGAGCAGTACCCAATAGCAGCAGAATAACATCAATTCTTCGTTGGGCTTGTATGTGTATGCAAACCACCATACGATAAGGATCACCAAGCCAGGAATTATTAAAAACTCCCTTACCTGTGTGGCCTTACCTTGATGCTGTACTTAGACTAAGGGGAAAAACATATTGCTTTCAAAATACACTTACATTAACCTACCCCAAGCAAGAAAAAGAAGGCAAAAAACGTTATAATAAAGAAAGGAAAAAAAAGGAAACGACGACATGAAGCTATTAAGACATGCGTGAAAACGGAAAAAAAGAGGAAAATATCACCTGTTTACCCTACCCGTCAAAGAAGATATTCGTTGTTCCCTTGCAAAACTAACATGCTCGAGTGTCCGACGGGATACTTCGGCTCGTGGAATGGCGTTATACCTTTCAAAAGCTGCAAACATGAAAGTGATGATTTTCCGTTGAAGAAGTCCGGGGTATGGTAGAGGTGACTCAAGATATGCAATGGTGCCTAGGAGTGATTGTTTTTTGGTGTTGCGTGCTCCTTACCCTCCTATATTGCGCTGTGCTGTAGAGTCGAAACGTCAAGAGCTGAACAGAGTCGATCTTACCCTCGTTGACGAGAAAGGCTGGGGCGAAGAAAAGGGAGGTAACCTTTTTGACAAACCATTGCGCAACAGGGCTTAGCCGTAAGTCGAGCTTAGTACCTTCGTCGTGTTCGTGGGTCGTCGTAGCTGTCACCATCGTAAGCGCGCTTCCGCGAGCCATCGTCTCGGCCTCCACCATATCCACCGTCACGGTCGCGGTATCGATCCCTGCTGCCGAGCGGTTCATTGTTAGCACCGCTGGATCCTCGGTCGTTACCCCCGCCACGTCTATCGTCGTACCGTCCACCACGATCGCCTCCGTAACCACCGCTTCCTCGGTCGCCACCGAAACCGCCGCTTCGGGGACCACGAGGACCAGCGGGTGCACCATCGGGAGGCCCATAACCGTTCGATTGGTACCCGATACCTCCTCGTCCACCGCCGTAACCCCCGCCGCCGCCTCGGCCGCCGCCACCAAAGCCTCCACTTCCACCACGGAAACCTCCTCGATCACCGCCAAAGCCTCCGCGACCTCCACCTCGTCCACCGAAACCACTGTTGAAGCCACCGCCGCGACCTCCGAATCCACCAGGACCGGCAGGGGCGCCGCCAAAGCCTCCTGCGCCACCAGATCCGCGGGCAGCTGGTCCCTTTGTATAGCCTCGACCGCCAAGGCCACCACCAAAGCGGCGTGGACGCCAGCCAGAAACCGTGCGACCGCGCTCAACATCGACCAGAACACGTCGGTCCTTGATTTTGATGCCATCTGTCTCTTTGTAGGCTGCCTTCATGTCTTTTTCACGCTCAAACACAATGAAGGCATAGCCGCGCTTGCGCTTCTTAGGTGGCGCGTCTTCTGGCTGCGTGATGTCCTCGACGATGCGGATACGCTCAATGGGACCGTAACGACCAAACTCGCGCTCGAGGTCGTCAGAGGTGACGCCGTACGACAGGCGAGACACGAAGAGTGTTTTGAAGGCGTCGCCCTGTACCTTTGGATCCTCGGAGGGTTTGTCTGTATCAGAGTCAGCGTTGTACTTATGAACAATTGATCTGCGCGTCCTGACGTACAATTCTTGACGCCTTCAGTAATAAGCTTCTCCTGTTTCTCCTTCTTTTCGAGCTTCTTGCGATCGCGTTTCTGCAGCCAGCTGTCGGTGGGCACATAGCCATCGTTGTCCTTGTATTCGCGTAGGGCGTCCATGTATTGCGCAATGCCGCCAATTTTGGGGGTGCAACGCTTCTCTGGCGCGTGGTCAGTAGGCTCAACCCATCGCAGCGGCGGCCGCGGGGCGAAGAGGTTCAACAGCATCGGCGGGAGTAAATGTGTCATTTTGGCGTGATGTCTGGATGCGCTCCAGATGGCGATGCGGAGTAGTTGGAATAATGGGGTGGAGGGTTGAAGAAGTGACGATGAGAGCAGGTGCTTCTGGTTCTTTGGGGGCTGATAGGCTTGGCAACAAGTTGCGACGCGGAGTTCGCACTAGCGCAATCCTAGGCTGCGACCGGGCACGTGAGAACAGTGCGCCGGTAGCCAGACTTTGGCCTCTGAGGTTGGCCAAGAGAAGGCACTACGAGTCTCCCAGCCGCAATTGCACGCCAACATGCCTGTCGCGGCTCTCAAGACGGTCGCAAAGTCTCAAGTATGTCCAGGCCCTGAGAATGCCTTCGTTGTGTCCTCCCACGCCGGCTGCTAACAATTGCACCTTCACAGAATGGCGTTGGGGCCTTTGTTCTGCCCTGCAAATCCTTAACCTTCCATTACTGCAACTGGTGGGGGTCGTCGCGCGGCATGAATGCCTTCATCAAGTCGTCCCTTCCGGCTTTTGCCAAGCGCAACCCTCAGATTGAAATTTCCGTCAGCCCACGGCCGGCCCACCACCCGGTCATCATCGCAAACTACATCAATGGAGCCCAGCGATCAATATGCGTCAAGAACCTGCAGAACGAGGGCGTACGGGAAAAGGCTGAGATGCTGAGGAACAGCACGGGAGAGAAGAACAGGAAACTAGACGGACGACCGGTGAAGAGTTTGAATGAGAGCGTGAGGGGTATTTGGAGTCCGTTCCACGGAAGCAAGATCAAGATATAGGAATTTTAAGGGATATAGGAGTTCGAAACAACTGGTAGCACAAGTTACGACTGTTAGTCGTAAGAGACGAAAGAGATTCGACTACACGGCCAGTGTGACCGAGCCAAATAGCACTCGGATAAAAGTGAATGCATATAAAGCATCCTAATCCAAGTACACCGAAACAAATCATATGTACGAATAGTGTATCAAATCTAAAAAAAATAAATCCAAGAACAAAAATTCACATGTCATATCCATCTTCGTCATTGATCTTCAAAAGCGTTTATTATGCTCCAACCTATGTGGTTTCTGGCAAAGATCTATTTCTCATAACTTCATCATTTTCCTTCCGGTGCGAGCTTCCGTCAGCTATAGACGAGCATCGCTCCGGGGGATTCATGCCTGGTGGCTGTTGATAATGTCAACAAACGCAGGCTTCAAGCTGGCACCGCCAACAAGGAAACCGTCAATGTCGGGCTGCTTGGCAAGCTCCTTGCAGTTCTTCTCCGAGACACTTCCGCCGTATAGGATACGGGTCTTCTCGGAAGCCTCTGCTGAGACCTCCTTCTTGAGCCACTCACGGAGAGCGGCGTGGACTTCCTGGGCTTGCTCAGTGGTAGCAACCTTGCCAGTACCAATAGCCCTGGCATTTGTTAGTTCATCCTGTTTGAGTAGCTAGTGTTCCCCCATGCCGACATACCAGATAGGCTCGTAAGCAACGACGATCTTGCTCCAGTCCTTAACCTTGTCGGCAACGGCCTTGAGCTGCTTGGTAACAACGTTGACGGTTTCACCCGCCTCACGCTGCTCCAGACTCTCACCACAGCACAGAATTACACCCAGACCACCGTCAACTGCTGCCTTTGTCTTGCTGGCGACGAAGTCATCGTTCTCCTGTAGGATCTGGCGGCGCTCAGAGTGACCCAGGATAGTCCAGGTGATACCGCTGTCTTTGAGCTGTTCGACTGAGATCTCGCCGGTGAAGGCGCCGTTGGGCTTGTCAAAGATGTTTTGTGCTGCAACCTCGATTCCCTTGCGGAGGTGTTCGCGGGTCAAGAGGAGGTAGAGAGATGGTGGTGCAATGACAACCTCTGTTTGCATGTGTCAGCTTGCTGTATTTGCAGTGGTGTGATGCAGGTTCCAGGTCCTCTGCTGAGGCTCACATGGCGATTTGCACTTACCAGTGTTCTCGTCGAGCTTGGCCTTGTTCAGGTTGTCGACGATTTCGGTGATCGACTTGATCGTACCGTTCCTTTAGGACGGTCAGCTCTTTGCCATTGTCGTGAAGGTACTCACAGCCCGGGTTGTAACGTACATCTTGAAGTTTCCACCGACGAAGAATTGGCGACCCATTTTGGCGGCTGTTTTTATACAAACTAGCTAGAAAGAATATGTGAGGGTATCAAGTATGCTCAATTGGAAGTGAGTTTAGGTGTGTTAGAGATGTGTTGTTGGGCTGAGCTACAGTAGGTATTAAAGCTTAGCGGGGGGTAACGCGCGGGGCCAGTGACGTCTTGAGAGATTCGCCGAACCCCGGCTTGCTTCTGAAAGACTGGAGATGCGGACCCCATCGTGAAATTTCTTTTTTCCAACTGGTAACCTTGGTTGTGCAAGCAAGTAATTCACCGGCTATCAACTTGAGGGCAGCACAGCGCGCCGGAAGGGTCTATTGTGCGTTTACAGCTACTTGGATTATGTGTGCAGTAACAATAATAGCGCAACTTCATGGCCTGCTTGGTGTTTGCAGACTTGAAGAGGTGCGGCTATGACAGAAACGGCCCACTGATCGTCCCGAAGTTATCCTTCAGCCAAGCCTTACACAACCAACATCTTCCGAACTCCACGTGCGACTTGTCGCTGGCTAGAACCGCCACTCCAACATCATGTCCGAGTCCGCGGAAAACGATAGAGACCCTACCGTCTATGGTCTATCAGTCACACCACTCACACAATGCGCACATTGGCACTCCCCGCTCGACATCATTGCTATTAAGCATTTCTGCTGCAAGAAATTCTACGCGTGCATCAGTTGCCACGATGCACTCGAGACGCATACGTCAGAAGTTTGGCCTCAAACGCAACGGGATGAGAGTGCCGTGCTATGCGGGCAATGCAAGCATGTCCTGACCGTAGATGAGTACCTAAAGAGCGGTAGCAACTGCACAAGATGCACGAGTAAATTCAATCCAGGCTGCAAGAACCATTGGGGGCTATACTTTCAACTTGATGGGAATACGACTTGAGCAAAAAGAAATCCATGCCTATTATTCTGGGGTATATGAGGGGATCCAGCCAAGATAAAAGAAAATCATACACACATTACCCTCGCCTGTTCCTTCATATCGCATCAAACTACATGTCCAATACCTTTCCCAACGGCGCTAAAATTCATGCCAGAAGAAACTTCTGGCTATTAGACACGTACAAGCTTGCTAGGTCTTGCACAAAATGACCTCCCATCCCACGGTCCATCTTACACTCCCCATGATAATAAGTAACAACGAGAATGCCGTCACAACACTGAGACTCGCGTACACGTACGCAGCTTTCCGCTTCAAAGTATCAATTTCAACGATCCAAGTTGATACGGTAGTCAGGCAGCCGCAGAAGCCGTCCATGATACCCTGCAGCACCTGACAGCCTACGATGCCTCCACCAACAAGCCCCGTAGTGCTGAGCGATACATGTTGCAAATCGTACGCCATGCCAATGACCGCGGTACCGAATATGTTGACGGTAAAGGTGCCAACGGGAAAAGTCGAATTGATCGGATTCAGGTACATGGAAATATAGTACCGGAGTAGACATCCGATGGGCGCGAAGACACAAGCAAAGAGGGCTTGACTACGCCATGCGTCATTTGGCGGAACAGCAGCCATGATGATCGCTCCGAGCCATACGCCCCAGCCTAAAACAACAAAAATCGGGTCGACGATGCGGCGCGTGGCGCGGAAGGGCAGTATCGGCGTGAAGCGATCTAGCCCAAGGGCTATATGCGCGCCAACGTGCAGCGCACAGTAACACGTAGCAATGGTAATGATAATGGTCGCACACAGAGCCAGGAAAGAGTACCCACCGTTCCTGGGTAAAAGATTGCCTGTCGGAGGAAGCGAGGTGTTCGCAGGGTACGGATGGCTGATGGGCGCCTTGAGATCGTTCGATAGCGATAAAAAGACGTCGCGAATAAAGCTCGAGAAGCTTGTGAACGAGCCGCAGAAGCCTGTCGCAAGGCCAATGTACATTGGGATCGTCTTCTTCACCTTTCCGTGGCGCGCTTTGTCGGCCTGTTGGAGTGCGGGTTCATCCGAGGGCTCTGGCAGGCCTTCCCCCCGATTCCCCCACTCTGCAGCAAAAAGACGACGGTCTTCTGCTAGGAAGCCCATTATCAATGTGCCGGCGACGTTGGCCCATAGTTCGGAGAAGGTCAGGGGTGTGCCGGAGTAGAAAGTGAGGGCTTGGAGGCCGACACGCGCCAGTGTTCCCCAGATGGAAAAGAATATCAAGTAAGAAACAGTGTACAGCTCTGTTGCTATCTTGGATGCTCTCCGTGCTCCTGGTGTGGGCTTCGAACGCACATAGAGACCTGCATAATCTTCTTCCTTCCCAGACACCATACTGGGCAGAGCGGTGATGCTTAGTTGCGAAGCCGACGGTGAACCGTGTATCGGACGCTCTTGCGGGACTGCAAGTCTTGCTGATGGTTGGACCTGTGGCAGCGATGGGTTTGCAGGCTCAGTGTCGGCCTTGCCGCTCTGTCCTCGCGTCCTTGGCCTGTGGAATGCTGCAGGTAAAGTGGGCGATTGGGCAGCCTCGTTGAAGACGTGCAGCCAGGAGCCTGGCACTAGGGCGTCGTCTGGGTCGTGCGACTTGTCGAGCCTGGAATCGGCGGTGCTTCGCGACGTGCGCTTGCTCGAGTTCTTGTCCTTCCACCTCGAGGTGCTGTCGGTGCGCTGGCGCTGGCGCGTATATGGGACGTTGGGCGCAGGCGAGGCGGTTGAGCCGGCAGACAGCGGTGAGGGCTCAATGTCGTCGTATGCTGAGGGTGGGATGCCCGAGTCGAGGTCGAAGTCGAGTCGCGCGGCATCGCTGGGTGACCAGGGTTGCAGTCGCGGGCCGGCGGATGGCTCTTCCAAGATGAGCGACGAGCGCAACGACGATCGTTGGTTATTGTAGTGAGACTGGCGCTTGGTGGGAACATCGTCGTAGTCGTCGGCGGCGGCTACTGCTGTATTTGCAGCATGGTCCGCCATAACAGGCGTCTCGGGTGCCTGCAGATTGGGATGTACAATGACGTGGACCCGTACCAGAAACTGGGTCCCCCTCAATTCATCTCACCTCGCGGCCTGGAAGATGAGTGGATATGATGGCTGTTTGTATACGGAAGTACTGGAGTCGGGCAGGCCACGCAGCAGACTGTCCCGTAACGCGATGGATGTCAGCTCCTGCCGCCGTGTAGCGCGTATATATCGTCAGACAGCCTTCGACCTCCGCCCCCCTTCTGAAGCAAAGAAGAAAGTATAAACACCCGTCAGGGCCATATTTGTTGTCAAGGCTTTTGCGCCATGCCCAAGTGCACGAGCACTGACTCCGATTTCTGTATTCTCCGATTGGCGCAGGGACAGGCCTGTTTCGTCCATGCGTGGGCGGCGCTGTCCGACGCCGGGTCAGCTGTTATCGCCCGCATTGGGGTAGCGCTACTCGACCTACCTATCTTATGCCCGCCGTCAATTGAACAAGCAATATTCCCTTCCCAAGCTCTGTATATATACATACATACTTGTCTCGCTGCTAGCTTGGCTGCCTCGAATCTGTGTCATCGCACCGTCCACCCAATCGCACGTGACAGTCCGACGCAGACATACTACAGACATCCACACATCATGGCAACCACCAACCTCCCCAAGAACGCACACGTGTCCACCCATCCTTGTCTTCAGGCAAAACTCTCCCAGCTACGGTCAGCAAGCACAGGTTCCCGTGATGCACAGACGCTGGTTCATGAAATCGCCCTCATGGTGGGCTATGAAGCCCTCGCCTCAGGATTGAAGTCACAGCAGGGAAGCACAGTACGTCCCCATTCCACCTTGCTTTCATGTGCACACACGCACGCTCTGAGAATTGGCATACTTTTTCCACTCAAACAATCATGCAAAAACCAACCGTGTGCCCTCAGTGCGTGTGGCACAAGCAATGGTGTAATCTGCACATGCATTAACAACATGGTTACAGGACAAGTCGCCCTTGGGATATGAGTACACAACGAGCACCACCTCACCCGCCCCCTCTGCCATATCGCTCGTGCCTATCCTCCGCTCTGGCCTCTCCATGGTCCCTGCGCTCTCATCCCTCCTCCCTACCCCAGTCCCCATCCACCACCTGGGTCTCTACCGCGAGAAGACGACCCTGCAACCAGTCGAGTACTACAACAATCTGCCCTATCACACCCCGCACACGTCTGGCGCCACCAAGCCCCAGCCCGAGCTGGCCATCATTGTCGATCCCATCATTGCGACCGGTGCGACGGCTTGTGCGGCTATTGATACGCTCAAGGACTGGGGTGTTAAGAAGATCATTGTCTGCAGTATTCTGGCTACCGAGGAGGGGCTTCAAAAGGCCTGTAGTGAGTGGGAGGAGGGCGTTGAGGTGTGGGTTGGCGCGTGCGATAAGGGTGTTGATGACAAAGGCATGATCAAGCCGGGACTAGGCGATATTGGAGACAGGCTATTCTTGACACTGGGAAAATAAGTCCATAGCAAGCCATGGGAATTCATGTGCAAAGTGTTCCATGTGTGATACTTGGTAACCTTGGTACTCATTGGACCAAGCTGTGTTTTGCTTCACGTGCCGTTTCCAAGGGTCTCGACCAAAAGCATGGTCACGGAATAGGGGTCGCCTTCTCCCTTGCGCCTCGATCCAGACGCGGCGGATTGTCTTGTCGATCGCCTTGTCCTGTGCAAGCTTCGGGCGGGCAAGAGTCTAGTAGTTGAGAATGTATGGTATGTAGCTGTGGCAGTGCTACTTCCAAGCCCTTGGCCTCAACCATCAGCCACTGATGACGCAAATGTACAACAATCTTGCTTCACCTATTTGGGCCAACGCAGCCAGCCACGTCCAATATATAACTGCCCTTACTCCACCTCTGCCTCATAACTCAGTACTTCCCCACTAAATTCCTATTTCACACACTCCACTCACACCTACGCCTATCCACGAACAAACATACATCCATACTACAACCATGGGTCTCATGTGGCACAAGGGCTTTGGCGGAAAGAGGGCTGGTAAAATGGACCTGGCACTTCAAAGTCGTCAAGCAGCTGCTAACAGATTTATAGGTGGCGGTGTCGTTGTTGACAAACACGGTGTTCGACGCGCACCCTTTCGCATCTCGTGCGGTGGTTTCTCTTGCTTCCGCTAAGCATCCACCCTCCTCATATCAACGATTCACGACTTGTAAGTCAAACAGGCTCACCAACGGTAACCGTCAGCTTACATGTTCAGCTCTCAACACGTCCATATCTTGATACCTTTGTTTTGCGATGGCGTTACGGCTCGAATCTGAACGGCGGTGAACAAGTGGAAGCTGTGCATAGCTCCTTAGCGTCACATGCATGCGGAGTCACACGCACACACACACACATATGTGACCAGATTCATACATGTTCCATAACCTCAGTAGCCTAATAAAATAAGCATATTTGAAATCTTAGTGCCATCGTCACTACTCCTTGTTTACAAACAGCTTGATACAGATGCCAAGCATTTGTTGAAAGAATGACGTCACACGTCACACCCTGGACTCGAGATCCACCTCTCCCATCCCACGCCATTTAGGTCAACCTCGAGGGCGGGGCAAATGGCGTTTGTGAAGACAGCTTCTGCATAGCTCACAGTAGACCTATGGGCGAGTATCGTCACGGCCACAACCCCAGATACAGCAAGATGCGGTCTGTTCTCATCATCAACCCCAACTCTACGGAGCAAATGACGAATGGCTTGAAGCCACTTGTCGATGCGCTACAATTCAAAGACGTCAATCAAACGCCACTCACAGCAGCGACCCAGCGACTAACCGTAGCTAGTAGACCGCACACGAGTACTTCACTGCACCCTCGGGTCCAAAGAGCATCAACAATGAAGACGACGCTGCCGAGTCGGTAGACCATTGCCTACCCGCTTTGGAGAAAGACCTCGCACGCTACGATGGCTTCCTCGTCGCATGCTACTCAAAGCATCCTCTCGTGCCACGCCTGAAAGAGCACACTACTGTGAGAGGCTCTCGCAAACCCGTCACTGGTATTTTCGAGGCCAGTGTGGGCACATCACTTCAGATTATACATCCTGACGAAAAGTTTGGCATCGTCAGCACAGGCAAGGTCTGGGAGACCATCCTGACTGATGCTACGATTGATTTTTTGGGCACGGGTTCAGAAGCTAGCAAGCGCTTTGCGGGCGTGGAAACGACAGGGCTCAACGCCACGGATCTGCATGATGCGCCTGCCGACGAGGTGCGCAAGCGCATGAAAGATGCCGTGAAGCGGCTTTTGAAGAAAGACAAGGTTGGCGCCATCTGTCTGGGCTGTGCGGGTATGGCTGGTATGGATGAGATGGTCAGGGAGGCGTGTATAGAGGAGTTGGGAGATGTCGAGGGTAAGAGAGTCAGGGTTGTGGACGGAGTAATGGCTGGTGTTGCGTGGCTAGAGGGTGCTGTACGTGCTAGCTTCTAATCTGCATCGAGGCGAATAGTGAAAAGTATATATTTGAAGCATATTTGTGTATATCTGTAATATTCCATGAATGATCACGATGTGAAATATCCCAATGAGTAGAGCCACTAACCAGAAACATTATGACATAATAACGTGGACCCTGGCGGGGATTGTAGTGGGACTATCACGCCCGACGACCTTCCTACCTGAACTCTAGTCATACAATTCCACATGACCATTTGGACATTTTTAAATTTTCCGCTCCAAAAAATACTGGTCGTCGTCTCGTGGGATAAGATTCGAAACAAGAATTTAGTCAATTAATCGCTATGCAGTCGCTGCCGAACGAGCTTTTATCGCAGATTGCTTCACAGCTGCATCAAGAACCGCCTTCAATCACAAAGTTTACCCACGAGCCTTCTGAACATCTGACACAATCGGAGTTGACTCCACTCAAAACCTTGTCTCTGGTGTCATGGCGCTGGAGAAAGATTGTTCTACCCATACTCTTCCGCTATTCGCGGATACCACTTGACGATGAGCCGCAATGGGTACCTTTGGACGCACGGCTCGTTGATAGCATGCAGGAGCAATTGACCAAACTGAGTAACCATGAATTTGTCATCTACACGAAATTGCGGAGCAAGTTCAAAAGCAGCTCGGGCTTTGCATTCAAGCCAGCCATGGATGATGTCCTCGTCAATTTATGCCGCATCCAAGAGGGGGATGAGTTTCTCAAGTCAGTGCCAAACATTTTGTGGCTTCCACATCTTCCGAAAACATTTACAGACTTTTGTCGATTCGTGGCACATTACACACTGAAGCACCACATCAAGAGCGTGGTGGTGCATACGAACAAGGAATACAAGCTGTCTCATGTATCTGCTGCAGAAGCACCGTTAGCTCGTGGGGTGACTGACATCTGGACGCAAGTATTCTCTCACCTAGAACCTACACGCATTGTCGTTGCTGCCCCACCGTCGACAATGGCTGGACTGCTGGATTCACCGATGCGGAGCAACGACGTGTGGGCTTTTGAGATGAAGATGCACTATGTTGAGCTAATTCAGGCCGAGCCGCCCCGTACTGCTCATATGCAAGAGAATTGCCGGACATGGGGCTCTGCTCTCATCCATCAAAGACCTTGGTATCACATGGGTTACAACGAGGGCTCGTCCATTGCTGCGTACAGCACATACGAGTACCATTTGAAACAACCGCCAAGGATACTTTTTCATTTGCTTATACGCCTGTTCAGGGAAACACAACCATGCTGCAACATGACATCGTTCAGCTTCACAGGCGTCTTCCCATTTGCCGCAAACATCACTTCGATTGTTCGCGCTCTTCACCGCATCCCGACGGTCAACAGGATCAGTGTACAGCTAGCACCTGGACCAGAGAACAATGTGCTCAGTGACGGCAAGAGAAGGGGCAGAGCGCAGTCAAGCGACTTTTGGCTCGAGTGGCGCGAGAGTTACAAAGTGATTGCGAGCTATTTAGGCGTGTTTGACTTTGCGGACCAGGCAAAGTTTGCAAGCAGAGACTGTGGGAGTAAGCAGCTGGCAATCGAGGTTGAAGAGTGTATGGATTTGCTGAGAAAGAGGGGGATTGGGTGGAAGAGCGAAGGGGATGGGAATTGGGTTAGGGATCACACGTTAGATTGTCAAACAGCGACTGTTGAGGTTGAAGGAGGTTGAGATTGGATATTTGCAATACAGGGTATTGGAAGCACCGTGATGTGAATACGCAGACTGTGCCATATTTAACTTTGAGCAGTGTAACTATAGGCAATCCTTCATCGTGGGCGAGGCTATCCTTGAACATGGCTCTAAGCACTAACCAATTAGCAGCGGCCTCTAGGGCAGCGTGCCCCACTTTGAAATGCCTGTGTCGTCTGTCACAAACTAACCCGACGTCATGCCAAATTTCTGATTCGGATACCTTGCACCGGCCAATCTTACTCGAACTCTCCGGCAAAGATAAACAAAGGCAACAATCATGGACTCGTATGTGAATTGTTTTCGGCTGCGAAACATTGCACAAGAGCTAATGCAGCGTCTCTAGCCTCACAGCATCTGAGCAGCGCGAGCTGCAGTCGCGCATGGAGAAGAAGCAGATGAAGGAATTCATGAACGTACGTAGAGCGTCTTTTGGGATGATTCTTGTGCTTCAACGACTGACACGGGATGGCAGATGTACTCGAACCTGGTGCAGCAATGCTTTGACCACTGTGTCAACGGCTTCGAGAGCAAGTCTCTCACCTCGCGCGAAGAGAGCTGCGTGATGCGATGCGTCGACAAGCACATGAAGGGCTCGCAGCGACTAGGCGACCGCTTCCAGGAGCAGAATGCCGCCATGGCCCAGGGCGGCGGCATGGGCGGAAGATAGATGGACAGAAGGGAAATCTCTGCGGCGGAGAGACAAAGGCTGCCTAGTGGCGATGAGAGACGACGCGCGGAATGCCGACTGCAAAGCGTGCAATGGTCGGGGTTGGATACAGTGGCCAGCCCGGTCATGCGCTGGCACAGAAAAAGGCCATTTGTACTACTATATAAAGACGAGTCGTGGGATCCGGTGTGGGCGTGGGCTACGTAAGATGCTTGCCCACGTCTGGATTAGTAAGAGCAGAAGCATGTCTCACGGACATGACTGCCATTGGCAATGATATATATGGTTATGGAAATGGAGAAGCATGTAGGTGATACTGCTACTACTACTACTACTATTACTTCGTCGTGTGCGGTGCGGTGCAGGCCAGCAGCCATGGGCAATTCGTACCATACATGTGTACATACATATAATGCACCCGAGATGCAGTTTCAAGAGGGGAGATTGTGTGAAGTAGTGTAGGCATGTACATTACGTGTGTCTATGTACCTACACCAGTGCGTATGTATGGAGCCATGAAGGGGTTAATTATAGCGCAGCATGCTCGCTCTGTGCCTCTTCCTTCTCGGGCTGCATGGCCGTGGCAATGATTCCAGGCTGCATGTAGGCATGTCAGGCGACGCGATGCCGTTTTGCGTGGATTGGCCGGCAGGCACTCGCTGCTGTTGTCATCGGGCAGCCACTCGAACTCCCTCGCCTCGCCTCGCCTCGCCTGGTGGGAGCATCACCTACGCAAGCCAGCAGCCCTGCATGCATGCTCTCTTTGTCGCTCCGAGCCCCAGTTTCAGCGTCGCCTTCTCTGCGCCCACACATGCCTTGAAAAGCGCCTTTGGACACGCAAGCTGCGCATCTGTGCCCACCCCTAACCGCCCGCCCTCACCAATTTGCTGCCCACCCCTCTCGCTCTGCACCCCCCCAGACCAGACCAGACCAGAGTCGAGTCGCGTCGCTTGCTGGCTGGCTCGCTACTCTCGCTCCCTCTCGCTCACCTCTCGCTCACCTCTCGCTCACCTCTCGCTCACCTCTCGCCCGCTCCCTCACCCATCCACCCGCCCGCACGCCCGAGCATCGTGACCTCCCGCCTCGTCCTGTTGTGCGCCGCCTGACTGAGCGAAGAGCGGTCGCGGAATACGAGACGGACGCCCGTTGGCAGCTCTTGCGCATCCCTCGCTACTAGAAGCCGACGTCACGTAGCGGCCCCCCCAGATAGCTGCCGCCTTGCCTGCCCACTCGGGGTCCACCTGTGCCTGGAACAAGAGCCAACTCCACAGCACCACCGCCTGCGATCGACGACTGCCCGCCCGTTGCTCATCTTCTTTTTGCTCTGGAGAGCAGCCATCGCTCTTCGGAACCCCTCCCCTCCGCGCTTGCCATGCCCGCAGGCACGCACACCAATCCCCAGACTCCGCGCGTGCGCAATGGGGAGCCCCAGCCCGCCCCGTTGGTCACTCCCGAGCCCGCCTCGTCCAAGCGGGATTTGACCTCGTGGTGGAGGCAGTTTAGCAAGCGCCCCGCGAAGAAGGACGACGACAAAGGTACGCTGCCGCCGCCGCCGCAGTCGCCCGCTTTGTTTCCCGCGCGCAATCACTGACTGTCTTGCGCGCATACTTAGATCAAGCCCTCCCCGGCATCTTTGGCGTTCCCCTCATCCAGAGCATCCCCTATGCCAATGTCGCAATCTCGCTCTTCAACGAGCACGGCGAGAGCTATATCTATGGCTATGTCCCCATTGTCGTCGCAAAGTGCGGTGTCTTCTTGAAGGAAAAGGGTCAGTCAAGCCAAAGCACTTCTGCCACCAGCTGTTAACCCGCGCACAGCAACCGACGTGGAAGGCATCTTTCGGCTGGCCGGCTCGGAAAAGAGGATCAAGGAACTCAAAACGGCTTTTGACACGCCGCCAAGATATGGAAAGGGCCTCGACTGGTCCGGCTACACGGTTCACGATGCCGCAAACATTTTGCGCCGCTACTTCAACAACCTGCCAGAGCCTATAATCCCCTTGCAGCACTATGATCCTTTTAGGGACCCCCTCAAGGGCCACCAGGCCGAAGCTGTCGGTCCCTGCGAAGGTCAGGCCCCATCCATCGGAGGCTTTGACCCAGACGCCGCTGTGCGCATATATCAACACCAAATCAAGGCCCTGCCGTCCCTGAATAGGCAGCTGTTGTTATATATTTTGGATCTTCTTGCGGTTTTTGCCGCCAAAGCCGATGTCAACAAGATGACGACGTCGAATCTTGCTGCCATCTTCCAGCCGGGACTATTATCCCATCCCCAGCACGACATGTCGCCGCAAGACTACCGCCTCAGCCAAGACGTGCTGATCTTTCTCATCGACAACCAGGATCACTTCTTGATTGGTATGGAGGGCACGGCTGTCGACGAGGGTACAGTCCAGCGCATTGAAAGCGGGCCATCTACCCCCCAGGCCAGAACACCAACCACTCCTGGCCGCAACAGCACCGGTATTGGGCGCTCAGCTTCGACGACTTCCAGTGCTGGTGCAGAAAGTCTGCGCATGCAAGGTGGAGTTCGGAGAAATGTATCAACATCTTCGAAGCGCTCTCGTCATTCCGGGGCTGTCCCTAGTCCAATAACTCCAGCATTTGCTTCACCGACCACCTCAGGAGTGCACCGAAGCAATACACTACCCTCGAAGCGCACCCCAGCGATTGGCAGCCCGCGCTTCCCTCCATCGAAGCAAACTACTTCTACAGTGGAAGAGGTCAAGAGCGAGCTTTTAGCGCCAGAGACCGCAAATGCCCCGATGACCCATGCTCATGCGAAACCAGAGGTTCAGCAACATCCACAACAACCTGAGGCTTTACAGAGCACTGCACCTGCTGCACCTGCGGCACCTGCGGCACCTGCGGTAGAACAAGCTGTAGCAACACAACCCCCTGAACCTGAAGTGACAGTGCCCAAACGAGCGCAGACTGTACCTCCAAACAAGATAGAGATGCCGAAGCCATTCGAAGTTGCTTCTGGACCTAACAATCTTACGCCGTCCACTGCACTCAACCGACGAAGCATGCCTCCAACCAGCCATGGATTTCAAAATATTCCTGGTGCCTTCCCGCTTGCATCGCCTGGCGTTATCCCACCAAGCCAGCCCACTACACCCAATGTCACTGCACAGGCTGCACAGTCTCTCTTGCCTCCACGGTCTACCACACCTAGCAATGGCCTTCGTAGTCCCCAACGCAGTCCACATCATACACCTACGCGCGAACGTTCGGAATTTCTCGAAGGGCCTGTCGATTCCGGACCCCCAGTCGAAATGACGCCAGCTGTGCGCACATTTACCCAAATTCTGTCAAAAGTAGGTGCCTCACCCACTGGTAAATCTGATGATGGGAAGGATTGCCGGAAGCCCAACAAGCTCCAGAAGAAGAGATTGCCAAATACGGTGAGCCAAAGTACTCACAGTTCTACACATTCTCTTGGTGGTAGCGAGGCTGGTTTTGGAGGGTCTCAATCAGGCCATGGCCCTCCCTCACCATTACATCCACCCCAGCCTGCGTTTGCACAAGGTCAGTCGCACTCTAACAGCTCTAAGGAAGCCGTTCACGACACAAACTCGTCGAAGGCTTCAGGCAACACTCTGAAGCCCAGCATGTCGCCTTCTGCTTCCTTTAGGTCACACTCGACCGCGACCGAATACTCGGAAACCGAGTTGGGTGACGATGCGCCGAAAGAAGAGAAGCGTAGCTTCTGGAAGGGCCATCACCGGCGCGGGGAGAGCAAGGCAACGCCTACAGCGAGCCAGACTGACCTGCGAGGGTCCGTGATTGGCGCGGACAAGAGCATGAGTTCGTTTGCTAGCAGTTCGGGATGGACAGGCAACGGGCGCCGAAGTGGTCAGTATGAACATGTACCTGGGTCAGAAGGGTCTGTAGTTGGCAGCCCGCCAGACCACGACAAGAGTGAAAAGAAGGGGGCTTTTGATTGGTTCCACAAGCGGAGGCAGGATCACAGAGATCGTGTAGACAAGAGAGAAAGGGCCAAGAGTCCGCCGGGAAGCTCAAACTATGGGCCTCTGCCGCAGAACCTGGCGCAGCAAAGTGAAAACATTGCTGGTCGCGGCAGACGATCAGATATACCGCACGCTACGGAAGAGCCGCAGCCTAAAGCGGACAAGTCGAATGATGTCACGCCCACTGGCCCCAGCCCCTCGCCGCCGCCAGCGGCTGCTAATACATCGAGCCCTAAGCGAGTGAGCAACTCAATGGCGCTCAGGACAAACCTTCCCGCGGCGTTGACAGAACCTATTTCGATAGCGCGGTCGCCGGAAAGAAGTCCGCTGTCACCAGTTGCTGCAACGGTACCTCAATCGCTGCCAGGGGCTGCTGCATCATCCATGACGACTGCAGAAAGTGTGCCTGAAGCTAAGGCGGATGCGCCGGTACAGTCAGAAGCTGCAGCTGCAGCTCCACCGGCTAGTGAACCAAAGCCGATACCTTCTGGACCCATGCATGCTTCATCGGGGTCAACAGTCACCATCACGCCACAGGCAATGAATGCGGACGCAAACTCTGGAGCGCCGGTGACTGAGAATGCACAGTCACCAGCAGCAGCAAGTCCACCAGCTTCATGAGGGAGTAATCATTTGTTGAGTTGTATAATGCATGGCGGAAGCGTGTCTATACCAGCCATATATATCCTCATGCTACGGCATGGCCTGTTTCATTTTTTCCGTTTAGGCCAAGGCTGTGCTTTGGCCAAACTGTTGGTATGTAAATGCGTGTGTGTGTATAGGGACTGGAGGATTGGCCTCGTCTCGCTTTTGTTGTAAGAAGAAGGGATAGGGAGAGGGGGTGTGTAGGTAGTAGGGTCAGTCAAAATGTGGAGGGGAATGGTAGCTTTTATTTGGAGAGGGGTTTCCTTTCTAGTTGTTGAATTGCACTTGTTTTACAAGGTCAAGGGGCTTGACGCGTGTTGCAAGGGCGAGGTGTGTTGTGGTACTTGGCCTGTACACCGGGCGAGGTGCAATGGAATGATTAGTCGGGGGGTCAAAAGGATTCGCATCAATCTATATGAATGCAGGGAGAAGCGAAGCAGTTGATGAACGAAGTTGGTGATTGCACATGTGCGTTGTTTGTGGCCATATGAGTGGATTGGTAGCATTACAACTATCGGCACGTGGTACTGCTACGTATATGCAGATGTATAGTACGGTACACTAAAGATGATAAGCAGCCCCCCTGCCCCTGTGCATCCCGTATGTACACACACACACTGCGACAAGAGCCAACAGGAGAGGGGCATGCATCTAGTGTGGTGGCGACGAACAGGAAATGCAGAGGTCTAGAGCCGAGCGGGGAAGAAGCGAGGGGGTCTGAGTGGTGGGGTTTCTTGTCTAGCCATGTGCATCGTCTATCGTGTAGGGATGCGTAGGCGAACGGTAGGTGAGTTACAGTACTTGGACCTCTGAGCATGATGGAGGTTGAAGTAGGAAGGTGACTATTTTTAGGACGCTTACGACGGTGATTGGGCAAGGGCGGACTAGGCCGCGGACCAGGATTGGTTGGGGACGCCATGTGGGCTGAGGGATACGGAGGAGACAGCAGAAGGCCGGTGTGTACGGGCAAATGCGGTGGCTGTGTGCTGTCTAGAGTGGAGTTGAACGACGTCAACTTGGCTCAGCAGCAGCACACACACACACGCGGTGGTTTCATCGCGCGCTCGCAACTAGGGACATGATGCCTCGGCGGGAAGAGGGGCCTCCCTTTCAAACAAATGACGTGCTGGAGGCGTCAAACCAAAAAGGCGGCACCCCGACGACTCGTCTGATGTTGTCTTGTCACATAATATACCCTACCCCCGAAGTTTATGTGCCAGCTTTGCTTCTCGCCTTGTTTCACGCGCTGGGCGTATATGTGAATTACCTGTTTTTGCGCGCCGGACAATGGCCTCATGTGTGCTGATCAAGTAACCGTTGTCCGGAGAAGACAGGCCTGAAGAGCATCAATGCGGATGAGCGATTGGGAAGCGCGACGGGGGTGTGGAAGGATGACTGCAGGGCCGGCCATGGGCATGGTTGAGGGTGCACGGGATAGTCGGGACAGCGTGTGCTTTAGTGGCATTGGGAGGCGAAAGGCAGGCAAAGCGGGCCTGGCAAGCTCGCGTTTCTGTCCAGGTCACAGCTAGTGCCATGTATCAGCAACGACTCCACCTTCTGCCTTAAGGTCCGATCTGCCTGCTGCTCCTTCCCACTCCTTTCGCTCCAAATTAATTAATTCCTCCTACTTACTACATACACATTACACTCGCTGTCCATCGGCCCGACTCTGACTTTAACAACAACAGCTACTACTAACTACTATCTCTCACTCTCACTCTCACTTACCCATTCACAAACGACACCTTCGTTTCGTTCAACTTTTCTGCTCGCTTGCTTGCGATAAAAGGAAAGCCAGAAACGTCATCGAGTGCACCAGAGAAATAATACGCAACAAGCAAAGCAACAAAATTCTTTGTTGGCTTCACGCCGTCGGGGCACTGGTAACCCAGCCACACGGGAACCCACTGAAATTGTGTAAGCACGTCCTGAGCACTGCCTTCATGGCGACCACGACTCGCTAAAGTCTATCTGTTCCGCCTCGTTCCCTTTGTTACCGCTCCCGGGGCTTAACCACATCATGGCGCTCTGCTGACACGAACTGCGCAGCTCCTGACATTTCTTCCCTTTAAAAGAGGCAAATCCGCCTTCTCTTGACTTCGCTTAACCGATATCGCCTGCTTTGCACGTCACCACCATGCGTTCCTTCTGCCAGGTTGCCGTCATGGCACTTCCCTTGTTCAGCGCGATTGCAGCTGCGGAGCCCAAGGATGTTGCAGACCACCCAAAGACCATCTATGCAACCGCACAGGAAGCTTTCCAGGACCTCCTGAATGCGCTGCCGGAAGAATCCTTGCATGCAGCACTGAGCAATCTCAAGGACTTTAAGAATGGCATCTTCGAGTCGCACCATCGGGGAGTCGAAAACATCCACAGCAACAACCCGGCGCTTGCTTCTAAGCTTATCGTCGATGCCGTCAATGACTTGCGCAAGAGGCAGACGCCTTCAAACGGCACCAATAGCGCCACTACCGCTAGCAACCCACCCGAGTCAATCCAGAACTCCACTCCTGTGCCAACAACGAGCGACAACTTGCAACCTGAAACCAGCTCTGCTGCGCCACCACCACCACCGCCTGGAAGCAGTGAGGCCTCCGCCGATACTGTGACCCAGACGCAAACTCAGACGCAAACCCAAACACAGACACAGACACAGAGTCAAACCCAGACACAGACGCAGACTCAGCAGCAAACTACAACCGCCGTTTCAACCACGACTCAAGAGCGGCCTGCCATTATTCCTGTCGAAAACACAGTAACCAAGGATGGCAAGACGATTGTGCAGACCACCGAGGTCCTTAGTGAAGTTACCGCCTCCGTCGCCGTGACTGTTGTGCGCACCAATATAGCGGGCAGCACAGTAACAGAGACCGAGAACCGACCTGCCGTCGTCAAGACAACTACGGACCGAGCCGGCCGTACAACCGTCACCACTTCGGCGGTCAACTTTGCGCCAACAGCAGGCCAAGTGACGTCAACAACTGACTCACGCGGCTCTATTGTTCTGACAACACTCACACCTGGCGGCGGTCTGGTTAGCAGCATCAAGCTGATCACCACGACTGATGCACAGGGCCGCCAGAGCACAATGACGACGTATGCCTTTGTCGACCCAGTGCAAGCTACTGGCGCTGCCAATAGCCCCAATGCTCCCGGAAACGACAAGCCTTCGCTGCAAACTGGTGCCGCTGTCGCCAATGGAGCCCAATACGCTGCTGTTGGTCTTGGTGCCCTAGCCTTTTTCTTCTAAGAGAGGAAAACAAAAGTTGTCGCAATTACAAAATTCGGATCGTTAGAAAAAAAAAATGGGGCTGCTGATGGTTCTTCAGATTGTACATATCTTTTTTCTTTTCCTGATCTTTTCCTCTTCTCTTCTTCATACAAACGCGAACACGAATTTCCTTTCAGGTTCTTTTACCATACGCTTGTTCGGCTGTCCATTCCTTTGATACCCCCTACTACATCTACATGTTTATACGTGTATATACGACACTCATTTTTTCTGTTTAATAGATAATGCAATGGTTTGCTTGGTATTTGTGGTTCGCTGCGTGTAATGGAAGCTAAATGGTGGATATGATGCATGGGAGGATGCATCGAAGTGGAGAGTGGGTCGAGTTTCCAAGGCGGGATATACATATGGAATGGGAAAAGGTGGGGGTGTGCAAAATGGGAAGGGAAAAAAAGAAAAAAGTAATAACGGGTACTTCTTTGTAGATGGAATATATACACATAACCTACACATACACTTGGCATTACTTCCTTTTCTCCATCGTGAACAAAAAGCAAAAATCAACCCGCACCGTCTATGTATATCGATCTTAATAGCGGTTAGGATACCTTATTTTATTTTTGTTTTTTTGTGTGTATATATACTCTTCATCTTCTCCATCTACACACCTACCAAAAAATGACAAGGAAACCAAGCAAACAACAAGGGAAGGGGTATTGGTATTTCCAATCAAAAAAAAACGCCACCAAAAAAAAGATGTTACTGCCTTCTATGCCGATGATGATAAACCATCCAAATGCGTTTTTTCCTTTCTCTCTTTTCCTCTCCTCTTTGCCGGTTTCTTCGCTCCACTTCCCTCTCTCTCTCTCTCTCTCTCTCCCTTTAGCCCAAAGTCAACAGCTTATACATCGAAGAGAACCCCCCCTATAACCCTAGATAACCCCTTTTCTAGATCAAATAGGAAGAAAACAAAACAACATCCACCAGTTACCCAAGAAAAAAAAGGTTCTCTGTAAGTAGGTAAACCATAGACATGTAAACCATAGATTCAACAAAAAAAACCAGCCTCCCTTTCCCCCGCCTCCCCCCCCACCCGCTTATGATACAGAAAAGAAGAGTAAACGACAACGAACGACTACAAGAAGAAGGAAGAGGAAAAAAAGAAGAAGATATACTCATATCACTTACCACAAACAAAAAAAAGGAAGGGGAGGAAAGAAAAGCCCCAAGTTCTCCTCCCTACCCCTACCCCTACTCCTCACGCACACTCACCTTGCCTTTGTCGCAATAAAATACTCGACACTCTCACCCGCCCAACTCACACTATTAGTGCCCGACTCATACCTCTCTTCATCAAACAGCCCCGCAATACTCTGTTCATTCCTAACCCCCTGTTTTGCGGCACCACCACCAAAGCTCTCAAGACTAACGACTTTGCACCCTTGCTTCAGATCCAAGAACTTTTGTAGGAGCAGATTATTCAGCGTCTCGCCAAAGACTTTATTGTTAACGAGTACGACATCCGCTTTGCGAAGTACATTGTCGATTTCAGGCGACTCGAGAAAGTCGCCGTGGATAAGCTCAATGGGACCGAGCGCAATGTTCCAGAGTCTCGAGCGGGCCTTGAGTTCGGCCGCTTGTTCGGAGCCGAGCGAGGCGGCGAGCTTCATCTTTTCAATGCCCCAGGATTCGGCGCCGGTTTGGAGGGCGGATTGCAGGACCACGTTGCCGACGCCGGAGCCGAGGTCGACGAAGATGTGCGATGAGTTGAGTCCCGTTTGCGCAAAGATTTTGTGGACAAACGGCGTGAGGAGCTCGCCGTAGGTGGTTTCTTTACCGGCGACCTTGCGGAGGCGGTGGGCGTGCGGGGACACGATGCGGTTGTAGCTTTGGGCCGTGATGCGCTTGACCAGGCTGAGGGGGATGGCGTGCATATCATCGAGGATGCGGGGTATGGTACCATCGCTGTAGCGGTCCTTGATCAGCTTGTTGAATTTGGAGAGTTCTTGTTTGAAGAGTTCCGGGTCGTCTTTAGTTACCGCTCTCTTGAGGAGCCGGACTGTGCCTAGTGCGTCGGATGACAGCTCTGCAGACAGATCTGATGGGAGGTAGTGCTGTATGATTTCCTCGATACTGAAATAAATGTCGTCCAGCGGGCTGTATTCCTCGTCCACTTCTTTCCGGGCAACAGCTTCGAACTTTTCTGGACGGGAGAGACTGGGATATTGCAGTTCAACCACAAGCTTCTTGTCGCTTCCTGAAAAAGGAGATTTGTATGCTTTGGCTACATCATCTTTTGTCATTTCATAACCATGTTTCAGGCATATCTTGGCTGCCGACGCCTTTTTCTTTCTAAACGCCGCATTCTCCTGAGCTTGTCTCATGACCGAGTCTGTTGTACCATTCGAAGGCTCTTCGGCCTCTGCCGCATCTCTCTTCTCAGCCTCCTGTATCCGTATGCGCCTGCTCAAGTCCGGCTCGAGAGCGCGATTTAGACTCATGGGCTCGATGCTGCTGCTGGCTGGCCGTGTCCGGCGGCGCTTGACACCCAAGCGATCACTGTCATCATCTTCGCTCGACTCATCGCTGCTAGCCCACTGGGGGGTATCGGCACCCTTACGTTTGCGGGTGTCGACACGCGACACGGATACCGACTTGGGGGCCCGTTCCCTCGAGGTTGTTTGCGAGCGGGGCGTCGACTGGTAGCGGTTGGATGGCGGGCCAGATGCACTGTGAGAGCGCGAGGCATTGCCTGGTCGTGAGGCTAGAGGGCGTGATGACGGTGAGGGGCTTGCACTGGGGGCGGGCGCCTTCTTGACAAGAACAGTTCTCGTCTTAATCTTGGGTTTGCCGGGAGCGAACATGACCACGGCGGCGCTAGTTGCAGGGCGAAGAGAACAATGTGTGGGTGGTCGGAACAGAGGGTCGGTAGCAGGCTGGTGTAGAGGTGAACGAGTGTAGCGAGTAGGGTGGCGAGCACAAGGGCGAAGAGAAGTGGGAAGAGGGCCAGAATGTAGGCAGCCAATACCAAGGGCGTCGTCGCACGCGCAATGGGACAAAGATACGTGACCAGGTCTTTCCGTCGCCTGCACAGCCGTGCAGTGGCTGCGCAGGGATCCCCCGACTAGCACCGCTTGGCACGCAGGACCCGTGGCCCTGCTTTTGCCCATGCCGACGTCAGTCCTATCCATGTCCCGACATTGGTGCTACTACATATACATACTCCAACACTACATATGTATATCTGTCCATCTATATATGTATCATGGATGATAATTTGCCAACAGTGAAAACGACAACATGACATGATCGCATCAGTACTGTGTGGTATTAATGAGCAGGACATAACCAACTCTTTCGTCAAGACTGCCTTGGTCGACCCCATAGTTATTATAATACACTCCCCCCAAAAGAATCAAATCAATCAGTCCATCAGCCCATCAGCCCACCACTCGCCCTCAATCAGCGCCGACGGTCTCGGCTGCGGCTTCTCGTCCGACTCCTCACACGTCTGCGCCTGTCTCTATCACGACTCCTATCCCGGCTTCTTTCCCTACTCCGCTCTCTACTCCGCTCTCTGGCCTTTCGATCGCCGTCTCGTTCCTTCTCATCACTATCTCCACCCCCGCCACCAGGTTGGTAACAGTCAGACTCTTGCCGTCTACTGCCCCGTTCTCTCCCACCATCCCAACGATCGTAGTCTCGAGACCTGTAGCTCCGTGGCCGATCGCGGCTATCGTCACGCCTACGAGGTCGGCTATCATCACGCTTGCGCTCACGGCTATCTTCTCGCTTCCGGGTGCTGGTGGTAGTGGCGGCTGCTGCTGCTGCTGCCGCACCGCCGGGTACATATCGATCAATATTATCTGGACTCCTAGAGCGGGAATGACGGCGTCGACGAGTGGCCGACCGATCACGGTCGCGGTCGCGATCACGGTCACGTCGGCTTCTAGAACGAGACCGGGTGCGGTCTCGACGTCTCTCTTCTCGGCTCGGTGAAGGGCTGCGTGTCTCGTACCGCGACTTGCGGCGGTTAGTACGTGTCTCGCGTGACCGGCTACGACTGTCGCGGCGCGAGCGTCTATCATCACGCTCGTCGCGATCGCGCCTTCGACCGTCGTGTGTCGGCCTGTAAGAATGTCTATCATCGTCCCGTCGAGACCTGCGATCATAGCGGCTTCCACGAGACAGTGAACGACTTCTGCTTCGCCTCCTAGTGCTCCGTGCAACACTGCGTGATCTAGAACGCGCGCGTGATTTATCGGCTTTTGAAGACAATTCTCCTCGTCGACCCTTGGCGTCGGCTGGTGGAGCATCCATCATTGCAGTGTCTTCATCCTTTGCGGCTGCAGTATGTGTTTCCGAGATGGGAGATCTGAGGCCCTTGCTAGAGGCCCGCTGTGCAGGCGAGGCGGATTTTCCGTCAAGCTTCGCCAGTCGAACAGCCACTGGATCTCGCGGTACAAGCGACTTGGGTGGATGTGCTTTCCGCATAGGCGGTTCAAGTGATTCTGAGCGTTCAAGTGCGGGTCGCTGCCGTGACTTCTTCATCTGTTCGCTCTCTTGCAACAAAAGCTGAAGTGCCAGGTCATCGTCCACCTTGATGTCCTCGGGCTTGATAGACGTACGACGTTCACGTTCACGTTCACGTGATCTTGACCTTGTCCTGCTCCTTCGCCTGCTTCTGTCACGTCCTCGGCGGTCTCTGTCACGGTCAGGGGTCCTGCTGCGTCCACGGCCACTGCGATAGCGTCCACCACGATCTCGGTCAAGCTCCTCTTGTATGCGACGCTCCCGCTCGGCATCCTCCTCTCGAATTTTCTTGAGGCGAGCCTCTCGACTCTTCTCGTGCTCTTCCCGCTCCTTCTTAAGGCGCTGGCGTTCCTCTTCCCTCTCCTTCTCAATCCTTTCTCGATCTTTTCGTCGGCGCTCTTCATCTTCCTTCTCGCGCTCTTCACGCTCCTTGCGCCTGCGCTCCTTTTCTTCCTGCCGAGCCTTCTCTCGAGCCTCGTCTTCTTCCTTTTCTCGCCGCCTACGCTCCTCCCTTTTGGCCCTCTCTGCACGCTCCCTCTCGCGCTCCTCCTCCAGCTCCTTTTCCCTCTGAGCCTCACGCTTTTGCCGTCGAGCCTCGGCTTCTTGTGCCCATTCCTCTTCGGTCTTGCTGCCTCGCTTCTCCTCTTCAGCAGCCGCCTCCGCTCCAATTTCCTGAATGCGGTATTCGCGCATTTTCGGCAAGCCCTGTTCTTCCATCAATCGGTCCAATAGGGCGTTGACAGTGCTCATAATGTTCGCGTAGATGTCACTGCGCTCTCCCGCACCCTCGATAAGGGTGGTCGCCATCCGGGGGTCCTTGGATAGTAATGACGGATTACGGTCGGTTTCACGGTCAACAAGTTCTTTGAGGGCGGATTGGAGTTCATCTTTGGCAGGCTGGAGCACAAGTGTCAGTACGTAGCCTAGGCTTTTGAATGCGAGGTTTTCACATACACCTGATACATATTGCTTCATAAGATCCCTCCGTATGTCGTCGTATGTACCCTTTTTGCGAAACATGTGTACCAAGCTGTCGATGGCCGATCGTTTCGCCTGGGAGAGTGGAAGCTCCGAAGGCCTTAGTTTCTTGCGCACATTTGCAGTACCATCGCCGTCTTGGGCGCGCTTGCGTCCAACTTCGGCCATGGTCGGTAGCTCGTCGTTGCGATCAGTCGTCTGGCGACGTGTGCGACCGGCCGTATGCAGGAGACGGGGATGAACAGCCAGTTGGGCAGCGAATGACGTAGGGAGGCTTGAAGTGCTGCGACCGGGCGCGTCACCCCGAATTGTAAAGGAGTGCTGCACTATGAGGCATGCAGAGTGGTGTATCAAGAGAAGTCGCGAAAAAGTACCCGTCGCGCTGGGGTGGGAGTCGGCGGGCGTTGGTTCCGCTCCGC